TCCACTATTTTGTACTTATCATAACAGCCATTTATAAACACAGACACTTAAAGAAATACAGTTCGAGTTTGAAAGAACAACAATGGCATTAAAGAAAGTTATTTTGTTCACTGCACATTACTGAACCCTCAAAATGCCCATAAATGTTATTTCTGGAGGATATTTTCAGCAGGTTTTTTCATTTATTTCAGCTTGAGGATATTTGTCAAGCAAAAATAGGAGTGTTTTCTTAAATATCATGTCTATTTTCATTGAACAAATATTGACATAAACTCAATATATTTGAGAATTCGTCATGATTATTATCATTCAATATTTCCTGAACAAAGTGGCTTGTGAGGCTTTATTTGCTGGTTGGACATTGAAGCAGTTAATGCACTTTTAACTGAGGGATGCAGCTGTATAAGGCCTCAGTTCTTTATTAAGAACTTTATTATGAAAAAGTTCTTCATTTAGAAGTTCTTTATAAAGAAAATAGCTTAATCGTCTGCATCTGGAAGTAAACAAAGTAATGCATATTTCTCAAAACAGCTCTCAAGTAATTTTCTTACTATTTCTTTGGTATCTGACTTGTATGAACTGTGGAGCCATTTGAAGCAAACCGGTATGTCATACCTTCTGCGTTTTGTGTGCAAAGAGAATGTTTACTAAAATTTGAGAAGTATAGCAGGTCAGGAAAATTGTTTTGGGGGAGAAAACTACAAAGCAAATGGCATGAAAGTATCACATACATTGACATTTTGTTGGACTTTTAAAATGAAATAAAAAAAAAGCTAAAAGAAGACACACCTGCTGCATCCTGGACCCAAAGGCTCAACTTGTGAATGGAGAGCGGGGTACCATACACTCACTCACTCACTCAGCCCACAACAACCCCACACACACCAGAGTGAGGATTCAAGACGTTCTTCCCCAGCCAGAAGCAGCTGTGTGTTCTTTTATCTCCCCTCTTATCAATAATCGATCAACTCACATTGGTGTAGAGCACACAGTCGATCTCCCCGGCCTCGGACAACTCGCTGAGGTTCCGGTCCCAGTGTAGAAACGGCTCGCTGCTGTCAAGGATCTCCATGACGTCCTCCACCCAGACTCCGTCCGGTCTCGGGAGCGAAACACAACAGGGGGTCTGTCGCTGTGCACTCACCCTAAACACTTTTACAACTCCGCTAAAAAATGTTTTAAAGAAGAAGTGTGCGTTTGGAGGACGGGGGATAGGGGGATAAGGGGGGTGTGTGGGAGAAAAAAAAAGTTCCGAACCACTTCTAAAAAGTGCGAGAAAATAAACGTAGTGAAGAGAAAGACGTCCAGCTGGTTCAAACACGGAGGGACGGAGGTCTGTAACGGTCAGGTTCGGGCTGAGCAGCTATGTTGTTGTTGTGCTTTATCATCTCCTCTCCAGTCCAGGATCCACAGACCGTTTTCCCGAGCTCCCTTTTTCCTTTCCTTTCCTCCTCCTCCTCCTCTTCCCCACGACCCAGACGACCAGGAATTTGTGGGTGGAGTCACGTGGGCTGAGAAGAGAAGCTAGGGGAAAAAACGTCGAAAAACGTCTAGAGTTCTGTCAGTGGCAATTGCCCTTCGGACATTTTAATGATATAAGTTGAAAGGTTTTCAAATCGGGGAATGACATGACGTGTAATTATTGTTTTTATGACATTTCTGAGTTTTTAAGCAGACGTTCGAGATTCAGAAAAGTTTAACTTCCGGTTACTTTTCAGAATAAAAATACACACAACTTGTTTGAATAAGTTTAGTTTGAAATAAAAACATAATATTTTGATATGCCCATTCATGCGAATAATAGTAATATGGAGTATGAAGTATAAACTTTACAAATGACTTAAAAATACAAAACTCGTTTTGGGTTCTATTTTAATTTTCAACTATACTAAATATAAGGAGAAATTCCATTCCTTATCCAGGAATTTATTTTTATTCTTTTTTAAATCTGTATTTTTTTCTATCATGCATTAGTCATTGAAATCTTTCTAAAAATTAAATTAATTTTGGATATAAAATCAATTTCCTTTGAAGTTTCCTTTTATGTCATACAAATATTACGTTATCCTCTCAAGGATATTGATTATTTAGCCACAGTTGGAAATGGACTGAAAATTTCCTTTCAAATGACCAGAATAACTACACTATATTAATAATAATAATAACTACATTCTAAATATTCCTGAGCATCATTGACAAACTTTCACACTGACCTTCGTAGCTACTGCTAGCTTGACTTGTCAAACTGAGCTGACAAGTTTCCACAACTCAAAGCTCCGCCCATTCTCAGGCATCTGACCAATCTGGTATCTCCTGCTGGTAAAGCCTGTTTAAACAGCTCAGATCGGCCCTCCCCGCGACTTTGGCTGAGGGGTACAGCGACCAATCAAAGGACACGTCTCACATTCGTGCAACCAACCGCTTTAGGCCAAGACTACCTTCCACTTGAACCCACCCCGCTGGAAGAGAACCAGCTGAGCAAGTCAGTTACTTGAACTAATATTATATTCACAAATAATTGTCAGTTTTTTTTCATATGTAAACAAACACTTTATATTCTATTTATATTACATTCTATAGCGGCTATAAAACTATCTTTTTGAAGTTTTACATTATAGTTCTATGCACTATGCCAATTTAAAAAAACAAAGTATTAGGTTATACTTGTCTGAAAGAAAAATATATTTGAACCATTTAAACAAGCTATGAACAAACATCAGGGATGTGGAAGCAATGACTCAGCCCCCAGATCATTGTGATAACAGCTGGAAATTTGCAAACATAGAACACTGTTGTAAGTGATATAAACCATGGTGCCATAGAAACTAGGCCAAATTTAAAGGCCCTTTCTCTACAATTACAAACTGCTGGGCCTTTTTAGTCATCAGCACTTTTTTCTGCAAATGAGCCTCCTTCAATCAAGAGACATCAGCATGAAAATACATACAAGTTAGCTGTTTACAGGTCAGAACCATTTCACTAGTCATTTTCATCATATTTTGCACAAGCAAGTTGTCCAGTGCTGAAGCCAGCTGTGCACCAAAGACAAGATTAATCCTTTGTTTTCCCTTTCAGACAAATTATCTTTATGTGTGCAGACGAGACGGAAGGTGGGATGACTCAACTCTGAATCACATCACCTAACACTGCTTTTTCTCTTTGAAACGCTTCACTTTTAGAACGAGACAGTTTGGCACCAAGTAAAGTGTCAGGGGGTGGGAAAAAAACTAACTTTTGCAGTCTCCAGGGTAATGAAACATACTGAGAAAAACATTTTCGATCGGCAATATCAAGTCTGCTTTTATTCAAATACAAATGTTGAGTTTCTGAGGGTTTTATTAACATGTTATATGTGTTGTTAGGGTAGCAGTAACATGATAATGGCCGTTTTACAAAAGCTTAGCAGTGTTCCTGATGCTAAAAGAAAAGAAAAAGAAAAGTTGTGTTGAGTATTCGTCATATAATAATCTAAACTATAAAACTCCTTTATCAAGTAAGTATGGATGACAGTATCTCTTAACAAAGATGAAGAAAAACGTAGATTTATCAGAAACATTCTGGATGGAATCATCTTTTTGGTTGCAGGCCATTTTGCAACAAATTTGCACAGGAAACGTCAGGAAACACAAACAGGGGTTTAACATATTTGAAACTGCCATGAACACATAGCTCGATCGCACTCATGATCAGTGGAGGTTTGGAACAAGAGTGGGTTCTTCCTGCTCCGCCTGAAGGCTCAAAGTGTTCATTTCCACCAGCAGGGGGAGCCACAGGCAAACATCGTCTTATTCTGAATCTGTTCTTCCAAAAAAACGGTACCTTTACTTTGGTGCCATAAAGTCTTCTTCTCTTTTGTTTTAGAAACCAGAAAATACAATGAAGTCATCCCGTTGGCCGAGGGAGGAGGAAAAATGTCCTTCAGGTCCTGTCTCTCACGTTGTCACTCAGGAATACGATGTTATCTGAGGAGAAAAATAAAGACATAGCTGGGAAAAGGGGGCTTTTGAGTTGGTATATGGAAGGAAGATGTGCAGCTGTGTTCTTAATCAGACCTGCTATGATGGTGGTAGCCTGACGTCTGACTTGGTTCTTGTCCACATACTCTCCATAGTCCAGTTTTCCCTCCACAAGGACCCTGGACCTGGAAAAGACACAGATGTAATAAAACCGTTCTTCTATTTGTTTTTTTATACTAGTTTAAAATGAAGGAGCCATAAGGTTGCGTCAGTTACGTGTCTTCATCAGGCAAGATTCAGAAAGGTTGTGACAAGTGATCGATTGACTTGCAAATATTAAGGTTCAGCAATTACAAATTTTAGCTTTGCAGTTGATGAATAGATAAAGACACATTTTAAAATCCCCATTTACTAATGCTCAGTTCAGTAAAAACTGCAATAAAACAAATATTGGTGTAGACTCTCTGTCCTCCAGGTCATAACAATCCTAAGAGTTTGAGTCAAGACAATGGGATGACTTCTGGGACATTGAAGACCTCTCATCCGATAGGCTTCCCCCTATCCTGGACCAAAAAACGTCCTCCAGGAAGTCCAGCTGCCTTGACCCGGGCTCTGAGGGTTCGCACTAACCCCTTGGTCTGGGCCTTTGCCTTGCACGTACCCTTTCTTGACATACTGGTAGGCTACGTCTCTCAGACCAGGTTTGAAGACCGAAACTCGGTGCCACGTGGTCTTCTGACTGACGTCACCTGTCGCCCAGAGAGCAGCGGGTCAAAACCAGAGTCAACAACAAATCAGGATATATGAGGTCTCAACTTTTTTCATTACAAACTCTAAGAAGAACGATAAATCAACCATGAATCAAATGCATCCTGGCACACCAAAGAGGACAACTAGCCACTGTCAGTGGTGCCTTCCAGCTCTCTGATGCCCTCTACTGGGACTGGACACAAAGCTAGCATCACAGCAACTATAATATACACTTAAAGCTAATCTATCCTCCTTCTTGTTAAGCCAGTAATCTTCTATTGTCAGCCTGAAAAGACAATCTAGAATCTCAGTTAACAAGTTAAAGCACATTAAGATTAGGTGTTCATCGTTCATTTATGTTTCCATCCTATTTTATTAAATAACAAACAAACAAACACAAAGAACGGTGTTTGAAATCACAGCTTTCTTCCTTTAGAGGACAAAAAAAAGCTTCCCTGGGCTCTGTTTTACATTTTCGAACATTTCTATCTGCATGCTACGATGAAAATGAAGCCAGTTATTTAACCAACTTAAAAAGACATATATATTTAAAAGGACTTTTCAGGGAGGTAGTTATGGAAACTTAAGAGGGACCAAACCACTGACACAATCCTTAAAAAGACAAAGATCAACTTGGGTTACATTTGAAAGATTTCTGTGAAAAGGTGTCCTACCTGTGGAGGTTGTCTCTCCTTCCCCAGAGCGCCACATCTCATTGGTCGCCAGGGAGAAGATGGTCACGGGGTTGCGACCCTCCACCTGCCTCATCACCGGGTCCTGACCAACTCGCCCCAGAAGCTGCACCTTATTTATCGCTGAAGGGGAAAGAAGGGGCAACGCGGTTTTTAAGATTCAGGCAAACATGTTGGCTGGTCATCCATGCTGCCACATACAAACCAACATCTGTGATAATATAAAATGATAAATCTGAGCTCTTCTGAGAGTCAAATTCAAGATGAGAATAATGTCTATTTGGTCTAGACCGTACACTGAGCACTCGAGCCAATAAAAAAAAATCAACAAATTCTCAGGTAAGCTTAAAGCTTGTCTTTTACTTGAAATTGGACAGGTTTTTCTTCTTAATTAAGATGTGAAAGTGTCTTACATCTTTCCAGAATGAGGCTTGCGTCTGTGCTCCTGTATCTCACCGCCTGCCGGACAATCTGAAAGTGCAAGAAAAAGTCATTTGTTTTCAAATCCTCCGCCCCTGTCAGTATTAATCAACAACGACCAATAATAAGTGGAAATCGTGCAACTATTTGCTTTGTTCAGACAGACTCCTCACCTGTGCTGTGGCACTTCTAAACATCTTCTCTGTGGGGTTGACACCTCTGAAAGAAGACCAGAGCCTCCAGCTGCGGAATTTAATAGACTGACCTGATTTAAACACTAAAAAAAGTTTTAAGAAATTAAAAAAAATCCATCAGCTGTGGAGTTTTATAAAATATCAATCATCAGATACTCTTATAAAAAGTATATAACCATAATATTTATTGAAAACAGGGTAAATGGAAACAATATCAAGAAACTGCCTGAACATTTCTCACTATGATGCTAATGGTATGAGTTTGTCTTTACAGGATGCCACAAGGCCCGACTAAATAATAACAATAATGGAGTTACAATGGACGTTCTGTAAGTTAACCGACAAGCAAAGACGATTATTTTAAATTTCTAAAAATAATTTTCTAATGTCAAATGACAGCTGAAGAAAAACAGCAAAGTCAAAGCTGAGCCCCGTCGAAGCAAAAGTGAGGCTGCAGGAGACTCCCGCCACCGGACGTAAACATAAAAAAATACTATAAAACAACGTTTTTTAGTAATATTTCTGACTCCCGAGTTAAATTAGTGCAGCTCCAGTGTGCATATAAACAGAGTGCTAAAACGTGGAACTTACGTGGTTCGGCAACCGCATAAACACTCGGCAGACGAAGCAATGCCGAAAAGACTTTGGTAACCTCACGCTGTTTCCGGTCCGACTCCGGAACAAGTCCGACAAAAAGAAGTTAGCTATTAGTTCCACTTTGTGACTGATGATAAAAATCACAATTATAACTGTTTTCCTACGGTAACAATGAACAAATAAATAATTATACATACATACATACATACATACATACATACATACATACATACATACATACATACATACATACATACATACATACATACATACATACATACATACATGCATGTATTTTACATGAATTAATGCTCAGCTCAGTACGTGGATCTTAGTACAGTTAACTTGGTACCTAATTATTTTTTAAATATACACAGTTTTGTGTTTCTAAGAAAGAAAAGACCGCTTCAAAATTTCTATTAATATTAATATTACATGTTTCAGAGTAAATCTCGACTCAGACTTCCAATGAGTTTCATTGCTGACACAAATTGGTTAACCAATCTTCCGGTACACTGTATTATGCAGCTGAGGCAACACTGAGGCATTTTAACAATCAATTATCAAAAGCAGATTTATTAACTCAATCATAACAACTCACATAAGAACTAACTTTGTGAATATGATTAGAAAATGTACTACATTACTGAAAAAAATCGCTTCACCAAAAGGTGTTAAATTATGTGTTTATTCATTTAAAGTGTTTCAGTTTTTTTTTTTTGTTTGTTTGTTTTTGTTTCAACGAGATTATTAAGCTTTTAAGTGAAACTTGCCTAAAGTAATTCTATCTTTTTCATCCAGCAGGGGGTGAGCTTGTTTTCCTGCTCTGGCTCTGGGCCTCTGCTGACATTGGGGTGGAGTTGGTTGTTGGTGGGATGCGGACTTTTCAAGGCAACACCCTCTTTTTCTGAATTTTACATTTCACCCACTCATCAACACTCAGCCTGCTGCTGGACCTACCAACATCTATCTCAGAGAAGCCGTAAATGCACCCCGCTAGGAGATGTCGCTCATATTCTTCGCTTTAACCACTTTGGGTGAGTGGAAGTTTTCATTTTGTTTTTGTAAAAGTTGTGCTGCTGGAAGTTTGCTGAAAGGAATCTGTTCTCTTGTTGGTGCCAAACTCTTTCCTCTCCAGCAGCAACACGTGTAATCAAAGCCATGTGCAAGCAATTATTCACTGTTCTCCCATCATAGGGACAGTTGTGTTTCATACAATGCTCAGGAGCTCATTAAAACCTTGTTTTTATATGCCTGAATTCCGACAGCTGAGTAAATTCCTGTGATTCGTAGTTAGAAAAACAAAGGCACCCCTGCTAAGTGTCTAGATCTGATATGAAACTATTCAAATAAAAGATGACTTAGTTTGTTCGTCGTGAAGATTTGGTCCTCTGACTGACAGCGTTCTCCTCCGTGCAGCCCTGTGGTCTCCTGTCAGGCCTCAGCTGCCGGAATTTGGGGATATGTGCACAGAGGGCAGCTGCTACCCGGCCACAGGAGACCTGCTGATCGGCAGGGCGCACAAGCTCGCCGCCTCCTCCACCTGCGGCCTGCGTCAGGCGGAGCGTTTCTGCATTGTCGGACACCTGTCGGAGGTAAGAAGCAAGCTGCTGCTGCTGGAAACCTGCAACACAAACTGTTGTGTTCTCGGTCGGTATCTGCCAGGCGGAACGTGGGAGTTTTCCTAAACAGCAGATAAGTTTCAACTTTGAGGGCTTTAAGGGCACAGTGGAAATCCCAGAGTTGCTTTGCAGGATGTTTGGACACAGTGGGTCAAAAAGTGAACAGACGACAGTCATGTGAAGAAGAAAATACACCACCTTTAAACGCAAAATAATATGATTCTTATCTGTTTTAAAAATGAGATAATCCAACCTCAGGTGAACGCAGGTGAATAGATGCCATTTTGTTCTGTATTTATTTAGCCGAAACTACATGGAAAGTCAGAAGTACTGTGTGAAAAAGTCCATCCAATGTTTCCAATGCTTGCAAAACTACTTTTAGTTGTGAAAACATGGAGTAATTGGTTTCCATACGATGTTATCAGTCTCTTGCCTCACGGAGGAGAATTCTTGGCCCCTTCTCCTTACAAAGCTCATTCCATTGAGCCTTCCTGTGTTCATTTTTGTGCAGCTTTTCAAAAACAAAATCCCACCACAACATTTAGCTCAGGCTGAGGTCGGGATTTTGACTGGACCGATGTAACACATTGATTCTAATTATTTTGTAGCCATTCTTGGTTTAGATTTGCTGTTGTGTTTGAGAACATTATCCTGCTGGTGACCCTGTTTCAGCCAAGCTTTAGTTGTGTTTGACTAAACTACAAATCTAAGTATTTCTGCCCTGCTCTTTTTGAAGAAAAGTGAGTTTCTCCTAGCAACCATTTCAAAGAAACAGCCTTAAGTCATTCTCTTTCTAAATGTATGGCCAATAAAGTATAACTGAATTGTGTTTTTCTAGCTGTTCTATCATGAACATGAACAGTTAACATGCTAGCCGAGCCATAGAGTTTGAGATGTAGCTCTTGTACTTTTTTTTTGCTGACTTTTTGGATTAACTTCCATTCCCAGAAAGATTGTCTTGTCTTGAATGTTTTCCACTTCAAAAAAATTTGATGGACTCCAATATATATCTAACCTGGCTGTTATATACTCTCAACATTTTCTGTGGAGTTGGGTTTTTCTGCCACAGCCTCTGGTTGATTTTGGTCATTTTTTTAACAGAGGATGATATATTAAGACTTAAGTGAAAAAGTAGTAGAATGTTTGCGTTCCCGTACATAAGCTCTCTGTAGGGATGTATGAAAAATGTTCATGTTGAGAATAATTTAAGGAAACTTAGGGCCAATGGGTCAGCATGCATGAGGGTCATTTTAAAGCGTGAGAAAGACTTCCAGATGTCCGCTGGTTTGTTGTTGCTTGCAGACTATATTTCCCATGAGGGATGATACATATTATGGAATGGAAAAAAGAATAATTCAGTAATCGTCATCTATTTAACGTAGAGAAAGCTTCGAACTGGCCAGAACAACAGGTGGCCAGCTGGGATTACCTCCAAAGGGAATTATTGGGAGAGAAAAGACACCAAAATCTAAACATAATATTTACATTTAAGAATCCACCTATTACAAATGAACATTCTCACGATGTGAAATGTAAAGTGGGTCACTTCTCTGTTCAGAGCAGAATCAGTTGATCGCTGGCGGGTCTTGAAGACGGCCTTTTTACAGCCGTGACTTATTTCTCACGAATGCGTGGAAGAGCCACCGGGCGGTTAACATCAGGGTCGTTGTTAAGGGTCTGAAAACGTCCCCGGACGCGTGCCAGGCCGGCCACTGCTTTGTTTCAGCGCCGATTCCGTGCTAACGATGGGGATGAGAAACTGAAAGAGGTTTGGAACGACATTGTTTCTGTACGTGTGTGGGGGCGCGCACACGTGCAGCGTCTGTTTGCCGTCTTGTCTCGTGGGAGTTCAGACATTCCCCTTCACAATAAATGCACTGTGCGCCTCACAATCCCTGCCCTGTGTGAATGGGAGCCGGGGTCGGGGAAGGGGATATTCTCCTCATATCAACCTCCCCTGGCATGCTCTGTCTGTGAATAGTGTTTTTATGAAAGACTGCGGGGGCTCTCTGAGGATGAGCACAGTCCTAAAGTATGAGCCTCAGATTAGGGAGGGAAGGAAGTTGGACTCAAGTGACAGATTTCTTTTTTTCTTTTTTCCCCACTGAAAACAGTTAAGCGGAGCCACTTACCCCGACTCTCACGTTTCATCACAGAAACAAGTGGCCTGGCACTCCGTACAATTTTTGAAACTTTGTCTTGTTTATTCATGCGCTCCAATATTGTGACATTTAAGAGTGTCTGACGTATGGTTCTGCCTACGGGCCAAACCATCTGCTTTGATGGTCCCAGAGCAAGTTAATCCTCATCAGCTAGTTTCAGCCAGGCACCACTTATCACACAAAGCTCTCAATTTGACACCTGTTTGATTTGGAATGAACAGCTGCATTAGAAATAAAGCGCTTAAAGCTCAACTGCTATTTTTATTTGTATTTAAAATGGAGACAGAATGTACATATATATTGTACAATGGTAGTTAAAGTATAGATACCAGACCTCAGAATATCGCAGGCAGCGTTCCACACTGGATGACAACACAATGGTAATTTGTTGTGTTGGTTTTATCTCTATATCTCTATATCTAAAACAAGCACAAAAAGAAGATTAAATAATTAATTGTGTCCCATCTGATGCTGACACTGGAGAAGGATTTCAGCTTCTGTTATTGACGGAACAATGTGGAAATGGTCCCGTCAAAACTCAACATGAGCAATAGTAATCCTGACTGGATTTTACAGCTGACAGTTTGAGGCAATGACTATGGAGACGTACTGTTTTTTTATGTTAGTTTTCCCCTATTGTGTTAACACAATAACAAAAACAGAAAAACTGTCTGTGGGATCTTGCTGGATGATGTGACAGTGATCTGCACGGTGCATTCAGATGAATACTCCTCAGGATAGCCCGTGATTGAATGTGAAAACCTATAAAAAGTCCAGTCCTTATCATGTCTGTTATCATCGTATAAATATATACAATGGTGCATACTCTGAAACAACCCTCACATTGCTAAAATTCCATTTCCACAATACAGAAAAACGAGTTTCCAAATATCCAATGTTTAGATTTGTTTTCAGTGACCAAACATTGAGTCGGAATGTGAACATTTTACTGATATGCTTATAAATATCAGTATTGATATTAGATAAGTACCATTGTTTCCAGATACATTTATCTTGGTGTATGTGAAAATAAGAGGTTATTCTAATCCAACTTAATCTCAGAAAAAATAAACTTAACTTCAAGTCAATCAACTTCAATAGCTGGTAAAAACTACCTGTAATTGGTAAGTGAGGACTTGTTATTTTCAAATGACAATTGTGACAAATAAGCAGTTCTACTTTCTCGAATGTAAAGTTTTACGTTTTTATTTTCCTTAAATGACTGAAGTTACTGCCGTTTTTTTCTGGCTATTTAAGAAACTAAACTCCAGAACACAATCAGAAGCTTCATCGCAAATAGAGATGATGGTTGAAGACATATTTCAAGTGTTTAGGCTATAAAGCAGCACGTGTTTCCAAAAGTCTTGAACCCAAACATGAAACTGGCACAAAACCTTATTCTGTTTATTTATGTCCAAGTTCAACCTTATTTTCAACATCTCAACACACTTTTTAACTTCAACTACTGCTGTTAATCCAAAAGTCGGAGTAAAAAAACAAACAAAACAACAACTGATGGTTGCTGAGTTGTAATCACCGAAGTCGTGCTGGCACATGGAGACACGACACCGGTGACATGTGCTGACGCTTGAACACTTTTTTGTCCATCAGGAGGAGAAGAAATGCTTCATGTGCGACTCCAGGCAGATGTACAGCGAGTACAGCAACCCCGACAGCCACACCATTGAGAACGTGGTCACCACCTTCGCCCACAACCGCCTCAAGACCTGGTGGCAGTCGGAGAATGGTGAGAGGCCACACCTGAGAAACACCGGGGGGTTTCTCCTCGATTCAGAGACGAGAGAGACGACTAAACTGAATGTAGGGGACGGAGCAGCCTGTGAGCACCTACTGAGGCTGTTCTCATGGGAACTGAGCTAATGAATGCACAGAAGATCACAGAGCCCCTCATGCACAGAGCCGGTTGGGGGGGGGTTGGGCCTATAGGTGCGCTGAGAACAGGTGTGCTGGTAGGAAACAGATGCACATCATCACTTGAGCACACAAATTACTTTAAAGTTGTAAGAAAAAGGAAGTGTGTAATGAGCCAGCGGGGCTTTAAGAGCTCCGAAGTGAGCCCGACAAATAGTTTGAAGTTTCTATCCTCAGAGGCAAAGAGGAAATTCGCTTTGAAGCAAGGATCAAACGAGTAATCCCTCGCACGGAGGAGGCCTATAGAAAGCTGGTTTCGTGGTTCAGGACAGGTCTAAATCGTCTCTTGTAGGAAGATGACGTTGAAAGCTCATTATTCGCCAAGGGGGGGGGGGGGATAACAAAAAAAAAATGTTATTTGTTTATTTCTTTGTGGCAAAAGACTTTCAAATGTTTTATATGGAAGAACATATATTAGTTTTTTTGGCACCTGTGATTCAGATGGTTACTTAAAATGCATTTTGATAATGTTAAATTTACCGACAGCAAACACCAAACACATACGCAAAATATAGGCCTTATCTATTTTTTGGCAGTAGGAGAAACTAAATGAGACGCAAACAGGCCACTCGCAAAACAATGTGAACAGATTTGGAACAGATTTGGAGGCAGCGTTGCCTTGTCTTAAACATGATGCAGCACAGTCTCAGCTATCCTGGTCACGGTAATCCCACAGGCTTCTTCTGGGATCTTGAAGACTTCCAGAAGCCCAGTTGCCTGATCCAAGCCGATTGCCAAGTTTTAAGTCGAGTATTTGGCAAGGGCACATACCTGATCCAGTGTTCCGTTAAGAACTTCAACCCTGCTTTCCCTCCTGGAAGTCACTCCTGTTTTGTAACCCGAGAAATAAATCTTCCTCTCAGAGAGTTTAAATAAACGTTAACCAAATGATTTATTCAGACCGCAGCCTCACGGCAAACCTAATTCAATATACAACATGGGTTTCGTTTGGGTTGTTCGGATATAACTATCCCAAATAAACTGAATAAACCCCATTAGATATGAGGCTGTGAGACGACTGCGATGTCTCCCCAGCATAACATCATTAAGTTCACATTACTCCAGGTTCCCATGAAGACGAAAAAATCCCTCTCTCTTTTCCTCCCACATTTACTCCAGACATGCACACACTGTTCCTACACAGCGGTGGGAATCTGTCAGAGGTGTGAGTCATAGCGGAGCAGCAGCCAGCGGTGCAGATGGCTCTGAAGCTGCAGCAGGAAGCTGCAGACACAATAGACTCACTTGGGATTTCGGAATTCCCTTGTGGCCCGATCTCTGTCTTTGGTTTGAATGAATTCAGCTCTTCTTTTTCTGGATGAAAACCCAGTGGAAATATGTTACTTAGATCAGCACTCATTATCGGCTTCTTTAAGTTATCTGTCAAGGAGTTTATCAGAAAGAAGATCACCATGTGTGTTTGGGGAATGACAGAAACACGGAAATAACTACATATAGCAACAAAATCTAATGGTACAACAAGCAATACCATTAGAGTTAATATCTGACTGAACAGGCTAGTTTTTTAAAGTTGGAGGACAGTTTTGCAGTGAAGTTATATGTACGATCATGACTTCATTAATAGTTTAAGAATGGTTCCATAGAATATCTTTTCTGCATAAAATGTTTTAACAATCCAGGTAAAAGTTTAGGATACTTACAACTCAGAAACGCATAACTTAAAGTCAAAGCCTCTATATGTACGTGCAAAAAATAAAAATATAAAAATTGCTAGCACGCATACTTTACCATATAAGACGATATATACCGTATTTGTTAACATTTTAAAATCTTTTGCATTGGTGACATTTTGCATCATTTGATGGTAAAAACTTTCCTGAAATCCCTGTTGTATGCAATCTGAAATACCTGATAACAGCAGGAAAAAGACTACATGACAATAATTTTGACTTATCAAACAGTAATAAATTATGAAGATTCAGAAATGACCTCTTTTTACGTTTTCATATTTTGTTAAAGGGACAAGTAAAGACATTAGACTAACAAATATGCAACTTTCTCTCTATTTTTTCCTTGGATCAGGCTTTAAAAGGTTAAGTAAACTTGCCCAGAAATGCTGAAAAACCACAAAGTTTTTGCTGATAAATGTCCAAATGTTGAATAAGCAGCGCGTGCAGCAAAAATACACAAAAAGAGGGATAAAGTCAGTCTGGAGAGAGTCAACATTCCAAATGAAAATCATGAATTGCTCATTTCCTGTTTCTCCTGCAGGTGTGGAGAATGTGACCATCCAGCTGGACCTGGAGGCCGAGTTCCATTTCACACATCTTATCATGACCTCCAAGGTGCCTGTTTTTTTTTTTTTCTCACACAATTCCTCCTGAACAAGCATACGTATATGGTATATCATGCAAATATTTTCCCAGCCATAGCATGGAGATAAACATCCAGCTGTGACAGCTGTGCCAGAGGACTGTAGAGAATCATTTTGGTATCCCGACAGTGGTATGGGATGAGTTTGAGGCTGGGCAGTAAAATCTTGTATCTGATCGCTGTCATGTGAGGGCTCCATGGGATGGCTGCCAGCTGGGGTTATGCTTCTCATCAACACTGCGGGGCCACATTACAGTCAAAACACACTCAAGGGCGGACATCCGGCCCATCCGCTTTTTTTTGTGGCTACATGGCAGAAAAGACTAACGGCGCCCTTACACTGTCAGGCCAAATAGAATTAAAAAATTCTGCCCATATAGTTGGTATTGGCTTATATACTGTATCTGATAAAACTTACAAAAATGTTTACAGGTATGCAAACATTTTACTGACTCTATCTTTCTATCCTTTCTTTCACAACATTCAACTAACTGTAATTGAATGTGAAAAAGCTTGAGAACCAGACAATGAGAATTATATGTATAACATTAGTAGCCTTTCCTTTAATTTTCTAAATTGCCAAACTATGATGTTGACATAGTTTTTAAAAATCCATTACCATCACTTGCACAGTATCTTTTATGGCCAAATGTTTAGGAGCCATCTCTCTTTTTTCATGAATGTCCTTTAATTCCCATCTTTTCTAATGATGAATGTAGATCAAAAATACATAGTACTTGATTGAGAAACAAATTCAGGTGAGTGTTAGACTCTCCAGGGATGCTAAAACCCTTCCAGGATGCCCTGATGTAGCCATTAGAAATCCCTTTTCACTCCATATAAACTAGTTTACCCATAATGTTTGGTGATGAAATATTATTCACATCTAAATAAATAATATTCCTGTATTTACCAAGAGAACGCAAAGAGCATTATCCTGAAAAACCCCCAACAACAAATAGATGAAGCTTTATAAAGGGATGAATGACTTCAGTTACATCTCTTTTGCTTACAGACATTTCGCCCAGCTGCTATGATGATCGAGCGTTCCATGGATTTTGGGAGAACGTGGGAGGTTTATCGTTATTTTGCCTACGACTGCCATTCATCCTTCCCTGGCATTTCAACAGGACCCATGCGCAGAGTGGATGACATCATCTGTGACAGCCGCTACTCAGACATTGAACCATCTACAGAGGGAGAGGTGAGTTTGCCTTCCCTTTAAACATTTTTGTAAAAAAGCTAGGAAATTTAGTTTTGATTTGATCTTTTCTCTACTGTAGGTGATATTCCGAGTGTTGGACCCTGCCTTTGAAATTGAGGACCCCTACAGCTTGAGAATACAAAGTAAGCTGCTTTTGAAATTGAATGAAACCCTTATCATTGTGTTGTTTGTTTTTACTATTTTCACCGGAAACTTTCACCTAAAAATAATATTTCAAATCCATAAATAAATAAGTGGTATTCAACTGGATGTTTTTTTTTACACAATTAATAGCTTTTACATCACAATGTTTAAAAAATTAAAATTCTTAATCCATTTAACAGTCAGTGTTGGAGTTTCCAATAAAAAGAGTGTACAGGAAGTGCAGGAAGCATAATGGAATGAAAATATTGTCAGGTAAAACAGGCAGGAGGCGACTAACCATTTGATACAGCCTTGGCATGTCTTTGAAGCACAGAGATAACCCTCACATGACTGAAAAAAACGATTCGGAGGGAAGTCTAGCTGTTGGTTGTGCAGCTTCCTGCAGCAGAGCTGCGGGAGTCAGGGGTCAGAAAGGAAGGGAGCTGCAAAGAATTTCACACGAGGAAGCAACTCAGACTTTGTCTAGCAGCCCACATCCAGGCAGAAACGCGGCGCGTCTCTTCCCCTTTGTCACACACACATGGAGAGGCTTTGTGCTAAGACTGTGGTGAACACTATGGGCGTGGGAAAATTGAAATGGCATCTTCATTTTCAAATATTGTCATTTCATTGTAAGATTTTTAAGATGGGAATTTCATGTCACTCCTCTATCACTCAATAACAGTTACCTAAATGCATAATACACCACGTTATAGATGTATAAAACATCTAAATTTTAAGGATTTCCGTCTGGACAAATAAGTGTGGTAAAAAATGCCCCAAGTTAAACTTCCCTGTTTCGCCCCTATTTTTTTTCTTCTCTGATTTTGCACAGACATGCTGAAGATCACCAACCTGAGAGTGAAGTTCCTCAAGCTCCACACGCTTGGCGACAACCTGCTGGACTCCCGCGAGGAGGTGACAGAAAAGTACTACTATGCCCTCTATGACATGGTCGTCCGCGGGAACTGCTTCTGCTACGGGCACGCTTCCGAGTGCTTACCCATCGACGGAGAGCCAACTGTGGCCGAGGGCATGGTACGTCAAAGCCAAATTCCATTTTATATAAAAAAACAATGTGCAGAATATTTTAAAACAAAAACTTGAAAAATTAAATTTTTGGGGGATTCCAGCTATTTTCACCAACCAAACTAGAAACAATTTAGGCGAGTTGCGTATTTAACATAGATAACTAAATGTTTGAAGTAAAAAATAAAACTTTTAAAGTTGTTGTTTGATTATATGAAAGTGAATAAAAAGATTAAATAGTTTTTAAGCTTTGCGGAATAATGCAGAGCATTTACTTTTACTTTTCTGTACAGGTCCACGGTCGTTGTGCGTGCAAACACAATACAGAGGGTCTGAACTGTGAGCGCTGTAAGGAGTTTTACCACGATTTGCCCTGGAGACCTGCCGAGGGACGGAACGCCCACTCCTGCAAGAGTACGAAATATCACATATCCCATAAAAATCAATACTTCTGATTATCAGACTGACATTTTTCCACTTTACCAGCTAAATTGCGTGACAAAATCTTATACAGAGGCATCATGGATTGGCTATTATATTTTACAGCACAAATGAAAATGATAGTAAAAGTACCAACGTATGGATCACGTGCCCAGTTCTTAAGGCCAAACTGTCTCCATTCCCAGAGTGCGAGTGTAACCAGCATTCCACGTCCTGCCACTTTGACCTGGCCGTGTACATGACGACGGGCAACACCAGCGGCGGGGTGTGCGACGACTGCCAGCACAACACCGTGGGCCGGCAGTGCGAGCAGTGTGCACCTTTCTACTACCAGAACCCCCAAAAGCACCTGAGAGACCCCACCGTCTGCGAACGTACGACTCCCCTCGAACAGCCTCTGAACAGCCACTGTAGTCGTTAAAGGTTTCAACGCACGCCGCTCTCATCCTCCCTATAAAGCCAGACCATCTGGATCTGTTCTCACCAACTGTGTTGAGGGCTTTGTAGAGAAGATGCTGGAAGCTGCATGGTTGTAATTACCTACAAACTACTGGGAGCAAATGGGAATAGTGCTGTAAAATGAAACACAGCCAAACCCCCTATGTTTTAACCTCCACAAATAACAGGCTGTCTGTGCTGTTCTTTTGCCCATTGTAGCGTCGTAACATATCCATTCTCACTCGTAAATAACTTAGTAAAACATGATTTTAACATGCACAAGCTATGGCTATTAGGAACATTGATTCATTTTAATTTGATATTTTCTTTGTTATGAAATAGGATTGTAAAAAGATCTAATTACAATCTCTTCACTAATCTATTTTCACCGCAAGTCTCAAATTGAATTTTTACACTATTGCAACAATCCAAAGAACTCCCTGATTGTCCAACCCCCTTCTGTTTAAGGACCTTCTTGATTTTAAAGAAATTGAATCTAATTACATTTCATTTTCAGTCTAGCTGCCTGCAATAAACTTATGACAAACCTCAGTGGAATCTCCATCGGGTTTCCACATTGGAGTCTAGAATATAACAAACCAATGAGCTGTTAGGCCAGCAAGGCACTTTCTTTAGCTTGAAAAAGATGACTCTTTCATTTGGTCATTGACTCGCTAACTTTGTGCTGTTTTCTTCTCCAGGTGATCGGTAAAGTTGCATAGATGCAAGGTCTTTTGTTATTAGTCCTTTTTCTGTTTTCCTGAGACATATATATATATTTCCTTTATTCATCACCTGGAATAATTCTTAGGTTCTGAAAGAAAGTCAGAATGTTTTTGTCTTTCTTTGGGAATGTATACGGTTCTATGCGTGTGTTTGGTTAAACCTCTTTTGTGTTATCCTTTATGTTCCGACAGCGTGTAACTGCGACCCGGCTGGGTCTCTGCAGGGCGGGCTCTGCGACCCGCGGACTGATGTGGCCGCGGGGCTGATCTCTGGTCAGTGCCGGTGTAAGGCCAACGTGGAGGGAGAGCGCTGTGACCACTGCAGGCAGGGACACTACCAACTAGGAGAGGGGCCAGACGGCTGCCTGCGTAAGCACATCCGGGGCCTCAGTCCGGACAGGATGGCTTTCAAACTAAGGAATAACTACATGTAAAAAATAAAAACCTGCATTGGCTCCTTCTAAAAAAATTTCCAATGAACAACAGCAAACAACTGCAAAGAATAAGAGGAGCTTCGTTAGATTTTTTTTTACAGAAAACAGTTCAGTTTGTTGCAAATCAAGAGGGCATGTCTGCTGTGGGAAATAGCTTTTTGTGGGTTTTTGTAACCTTTTTGTGGGTGCTGAAATGGCACCACCACACTTTGGTTACACCTTATTTTTTCATTTGTATTTTCTGTTATTTATTTCATCGCTTTCCTCGTTGAAGTAAAAGCTACAAATATCTGGTTGTATTTCTTATATGACAGAAACAAAATACATGTACTTATTCCAATATTCGCCTCTGAAGACATTACGTTTTAATAGATTAAAGTGCTTATTATGACACTTTTCAGTTGTCCCACCGTTTTTAAAAGGGGAAACGTTTTAAAAGGAGAAAAATCTGTTAACCAAGGGCTTTAGTCTTATCTTTTGCTTTAAATTCTACGACAAGCGTAGTGGATTTGCTTAAATGCTTCATTTCACCGTATGTCTTGTCAGCTTGTACCTGCAACCCACTGGGAACGGTGCCAGGAGCAAACCCCTGCGATCCAGTTACAGGAAGATGCTTCTGCAAACGGCTGGTGGATGGACACAACTGCGATCAGTGCCAGGTATACAGCAAGCACAGCGGTGAGATCCAGGGAGGTTTACCTATCGCCGTTGGTAAGAGTCACATGGCTCTGTTTTTTTCTCACCCAGCCTCAGCACTGGGGTCTCTCTAATGACATGGACGGCTGCAAACCATGTGACTGCGACCAGGGCGGGGCTGTCAACAACAAGTAAGTTGAATAAATAAATAATTTGGATGTGCTCATTTATACCCTTATTTACAGTCTTATATCATACTATGAAGGTCGATTTGAAAGGTGCATTTCCTGTTTATTCTGGGATCTGCAATGCATTCAAAAGTAACATATTTGTTTGCAAGTATAACCACAACAACACCCCCACCAGGGACGTCATAATTCAAATCTGTATGACTATTTGCAGGTTACAGGTTTAAAACTCAGCAGCAGTTTTTATAGAAAATGTCATAAGCAGGAGGTCTAAGGATGTACGTCTTATCTTAACATTTAAGAATAAAACATAGTCATAGCTCATCCTTTTTCCCTTATCTGTATTTCTCTCCATAGCTGTGACCCTCAGTCGGGGCAGTGTGTGTGCAGGGAGCACATGTTTGGACGGCGCTGTGATCAGGTTGAGTCGGGCTTCTACTTCATCTCGCTGGACCACTACTTGTACGAAGCCGAAGACGCCCAGCGTGGACCTGTGAGTGTTCGCTTTCCCCCGTGGGTTTGTTCTTGCTTTCCCTCAAAGACGTGAGTGCTGCAGCATTTGTGTTTTGTTTCTGTCGCTAAAGGGTGTGACGGTGGTGCAAAGGCCTTACCCGCTGGACCGAAGCCCCACGTGGACTGGGATGGGCTTCGTGCATGTCCCGGAGGGGGCTTATTTAGAGTTTAATGTCGACAACATCCCAGAGTCTATGGACTATGACATCCTTATACGCTATGAGCCACAGGTGACAGATTTTTTTTGTTTTTGGGTGAAAAAAAACTTGCAAGCCAGCTTGTGGTGCTGATTGGTTATGGCCTTACTTAATGTCCAAGCTTGATCTGCCTGATCAAGTCTTTATTATAAATATATCTATAAAATAAGAATACGTGGCATCTGATAAGCAAATTCGTAGTTTACATGCCCCCTTTGCTCTGAAACAAATCAACCCTAATAACAATGCCTTCTTATGGTGTGTTGACAGCTACCACAACAGTGGGAGAAGGTGAACATGCGAGTGGAGCGTCCCGTTTTCAACCCGCCCGACTACTCCGCCCACTGCAGCAACTCCATCCAGAGCGGAGACGAGCAGTCCATCTCTCTTCCGCCCGGGTCCAGGTGAAACACCAGTTCTGTTTCTTTCTTCCCCCGACGACCCGCTCGTCACACACCCTGAGAGTGTGTTGTTTTCCAGGCACGTGCTGCTGGTGAGGCCAGTGTGTTTGGAGAAAGGGTTAAACTACACCATCCGCCTCACCCTGCAGCTCTACTCCTCGGCGGGCCACTCCCAGAATCCCTACACGCTCATAGACTCGGTGCGTTTGAATCCGCGTTCGGGGGTTTTAGTCCTCAAGGTTTCACCAACGAGGGGCGAGTGGTGTGGTGGTTAGCACCGTCGCCTCACAGCAAGAAGGTTCTGGGTTGGAGTCTTGTGGGACCCAGGACCTTTCTGGGTGGAGTTTGCATGTTCTCCCTGTGTCTGCGTGGGTTCTCTCTGGGTTATCCGGCTTCCTCCCACAGTCCAAAAACCTGCATGTTAGGTTGATTGGACATTCCAAATTGCCCTTAGGCAAGGTGTGAATGTGAGTGTGCGTGGTTGTTTGTCCTTGTGTGTCTCTGTGTGGCCCTGCGATGGACTGGCGGACTGTCCAGGGTGTACCCCGCCTCTCGCCCGTTGACCACTGGGATAGGCTCCAGTTCTCCCCGCGACCCCATTAGGGAACAAGCGGTAGGGATAATGGATGGATGGTTTCACAAACGAGCCCCCAAAGCCACCAGGCGCGTTACAAACGGGAAAACCTATAACAGAGATCCGGTGTGTCCCCTGCAATTTCTTTGTAGTTGGTGCTGATGCCCCGAGTCAGAGAGCTGGACATGTTTCACGGGACGGAAGGGGAAGGGGCGTGGGATACCTTCCAGCGCTATCGGTGTCTGGAGAGCAGCCAGAGCGTCGTCAAAAGCCCCATGACGGACATCTGCTACGACTACATCTTCAGCGTCTCTGCTCTGCTGCACAAAGGAGCCATGGGTTGGTAGTTACACGTCCGTCCTCACAGTGGCAGATGTTTTCTCGTTATCGCATTCGTGTAAAACGTGTGCTTTCTCTTTAGTTCCTTTGATCTTTCTTTTTCTTTTAAATAAAATTGAATAATAATAAAATAATGATAAAAGGTTTTTTAAAAGATGAAAGATAACTTTCTTACTTGTTGTGACTGTTAAAGTGTACATAAACACTGAAAATTCCTCTGATGCTGACTTTTTGGAATGTTTTAGTCCATTTGATGTTGTTTTATGTCTCTTTAATGTCCCATGGGGTCTCTTGAGTGATATTTTGTGTTTCTTAGATATGAGCCTATGGCTCTTTGAAGTTATTTTGTTATTCTTAATCTGCTGTGATTTTGTGTGTCTTTCGGTTTGCATCGTCCGACTCGGTTGTTTTGCATCTCTGTGAGGCTATTTTGTATCTCTGAGATTGTATTACTTTTCTTCTGGCTTGCTTTGCGTAGTTTGAAAATCATTTAGCATCCCGTCTCTTTGTTGCTGCTTTGTGTGTAGTAGTGTTTATGTAACTTTAATGTAATTCTGTCCGCTTTCAGTGGTGCATGGGGCCATTTCTCTGAGATCATTTATTTCATTTTGTAATTTTGTTTTCAGGTTATGCTGTTTCTGTTTAGTCTTTGTTATCATCTTGATGTGCTAAACTTTTTACAATCCGACCAAAAATGTAAGTTATAGAAATTTAGCAGTGTCCGTGGAGTGCTGAATTCACACTTACCTATAAGTACGATTTTTGGTCAGACGTACTTTTACTTTGGTTCAGAAAAATTTTGCTCAGCATAGCACGGTACGCAGATTTCAGTTCTACTACCATAATGCTGAACAGGACAAGAAAAAAAAAAAAAAAAAATGTAATGTAACCTAAAAAGACAAGCATTCTTTAATATTAGCAATAAAAGGTGGCGAGAGCAATGAGCCTCCTGAACTGTTAATGTCTACATTTATATAGTGATCCTAACAACTCTTCGTGTTCATCTGTCATCTCCCAGCATGCCAGTGTGACCCCCAGGGCTCTGTTAGCGCCATGTGCGAGCCCAGTGGAGGTCAGTGTCAGTGCCGGGCCAACGTAGTCGGCAGGAACTGTGACCACTGTGCTCCGGCTATGTTCCTGTTCAGCCCCGCCGGCTGCAGACGTGAGTCCCCGAAGGATCCGCACGTTCCAATGGTGGTTTCCAGATCGTTAAAAACGTTCCCCTCCATTAATCCCAATCTGACCCCTGGCAGCTTGCGGCTGTGATCCTCTGGGCTCCGTCACCGCCTTCTGCCACCAGGCGACGGGCCAGTGCGAGTGTGTTCCCGGAGCCACGGGTCGCCAGTGTTCCCACTGCCAGCCAGGTTTCTGGGGCTTCCCTCAGTGCCGGCCCTGCCACTGCAACGGCCACAGCGAGTACTGCCACCCTCAGACTGGCGAGTGTCAGGGCTGCAGAGACTTCACCGCCGGACACTACTGTGAGAGGTACGGTTTGGTGGTGAAAAGGAGGGCAGAGCTCAGTTAATTTGAATCGTGCATTTCGGGGTTTTTTATGCGTAGCACCACAGAAACCGTTTTCCCAGCACAATATTGTGTAATAAAGCGTGAAATTATGTGAACACACATGTCATGACTCAGCTTTCCTGAGCTCCACCACCTCTTACGCATCACTCGTCTCAATGAAGAACTTTAGGATTTTTACTTACCCTTCCCTCCAGTTATCAGTTATACCACTAATTTGAATATCGGATCAATACATTTTCTTTTGCTCTCCATTCAGGTGTTTGAATGGTTACCATGGTGACCCAGAACTGGGTTCAGGCAGCCACTGTCGTCCCTGCATGTGTCCAGACGGGCCGCGCAGTGGTCGGCAGTTTGCGGACAGCTGTTACCTTCTGGCCAACACCAACCAGCTTGTGTGTGTGTGCAGCCACGGCTACAAAGGTGTGTGAGCACACACACACACACATACACACACGTGAACACACAGACAATGTTTGACAGACTTATTTCTATGGAAGCTGGTCACAAGTGCAGCTCTTGTCATCGTGCTCTCAGCTCACACACACCTCACATGTTTTGAATCCAAACAACCCTTCCGCTGCTCTGTAATTAGCTTGCGGGCCTCTTTCTTCAGTTTGAGAAAAAAAAAATCTTCTGTGTTATTACATTAGCTTGTTTGTCTTGCGTTTTGTGCCTCGTCCAGGCGTCCGGTGTGACGAATGCGCCCCCGGTTACTACGGGAACCCTTTGGTTCCGGGGGGGCGCTGCACGCCCTGCCAGTGCAACAACAACATCGACATGCACGACCCAGGGTCCTGTGACGCCCGCACGGGGGCCTGCCTCAGATGCCTGTATCACACCCAGGGCCACTCGTGTCAGCATTGCAAACTGGGTTACTACGGCAACGCCGCCACGCAGAGCTGCAGAAGTGAGTACGGCCACGTAAAAGGAACCCAGTCCAGCCCGTTTTTACGTTTAGGGACGCCCTCTAACCCTGTGTAGATGCATGTGGTGATTACCTTCTTCCCTCCTGTGTGCAGAGTGCTCGTGCTTCTCGGTGGGGACGGCCTCTGAGGCCTGCTCGTCCCCTGATGACTGTCAGTGTGACCAGCGTAGCGGTCAGTGTCCCTGCCTGCCCAACGTGGTGGGTCCGGCCTGCGACCGCTGCGCCCCCAACACGTGGAATATCGGCGGCGGGACGGGCTGCCAGCGCTGTGACTGCGACCCCAGCCATTCGGTCGGGTCCTCCTGCGACGAGGTGGGTCGGACGAACATCAGCCGCAGTCTTACGCTTTTTTGTGTCCCCGCCGCGCATTGTCAGCCGCAAGAGACAGGAGAGCGGTGAATTTGATCTGGGTGAAAACACCATTCACGGTCTGTCAGCAAGTATATCTCGCTGCAGACAAGGATGGATATCCAACTCTGCCCACATCTAAGTCGGCCATTTTTATTACGTCACCAATAGGAAGATCCCAGGCAAGAAAATCGTAATTGCTTCATGGCAATATTGACTTTAATTTACGAATAGTGAAATTCATCTTGCAAACACTGAATTAAACTCTATACATAATATTATGTTAAAATAGTGTATGTTAAATAGGTTTGTACAATAAGTCCAAACAAGTATAACCAAAAAATATTTATTTCTCAGAATTTTGAAGGGTGGAGGGGTTAAGGTTAGGGAAGGTTAGGATTGGGGTTAGGGTCAGGGTTAGGGTTAGGACATTGTTTGTCTTCCGATTTCGTACAGGCAGTAAATTTTTGTTTCCAGCTCAGAAAGCTGCTGGTCATATGACCTAATCAAAATGGCCGACTTGGATGTGGGAGGAGTTGGATATCCAACCGGGGCGTCCTACAGACTGCAGCCAGAGGTCACTCTCTGTCAGTTGTGAAACGCATTCCCCATTTGTTTCTATCCTCTACAGTAGAAGAAACTGTAAACAGCACAGCTTCCCTTTAACGTCCCCCTTAGTACCGCTGCAGCTGCATAGCGAATCCCACCAACTAACAGAAGGCCTTTGTTTGTGTATTGCTTTTGACATATAGTCTCCAGCTGTTTCGGCCCAGCTCCTTTTTCTGTTTTCCCGCAGCTCCGTTTTACTCAGACACGCAAACATACACGTAAAGAAGGGAATAATGGGCCCCCTGCTCACACACAAACATTTGGCTTTCTGTGTTTACTGGCTGCATTCCATCAGAGGAAGGAAGTCTCGGAGCGCACCGTGGAATAGCTGGACGCAGATTTTTCCTAACAGAAGCCGGTGGGGCCGAAGTACAAAGCTCAGTTTTGCCTGCAAAGTGTAGTGAAGGCTTTGAAGTGTGCTGACAATGTCTCGGAGGCACAAAACGAGGGCCGTCTCATTTTCTGTGCTGTTGCTTTTGTTGTAGGTCACAGGACGATGTGTGTGCAAGCCGGGTTTTGGCGGCAGGACCTGCCGGGAGTGCAAAGAACTTTTCTGGGGGGACCCAAAGGTCAAGTGTCATGGTAGGACATCCTTCATCACAAGTGTTTTCCACAGAACAGGGAGACTGAGTCTGCCCTCATATGCTTCCACTCTGCAGATTTTTAGACGAGCCAAAAAGAGTTCAAATCAGAACATTAAATTATTCCAGCACTCTAAAGTTAAAGCGAATGTGGGAGGCAAGCCAAAAGTAAACTTTAGTTTTAATGACTGTTATGAAATCATTTAAAAAAAAACACAAAAAAACAGAAAAAGTCCAATCAAATTAAAGTCAAAGTTCACTTAATAGTTATTTTGAGTAGCTTAAGTTTGTAGTTAGCACACATTGTGGATATTATGATTGCTTAAGAGTCAGATTTGCCCCTCTGGATTTAATGTACCCTGAAACAGTTCCAAAAGGTGAGTCAAGATTTCATCCACTCAGTAAACAGAACAAAACGTTTTAACACAGGGAGGTCGTATTCCAGTCTGTTTTTTTTGCATGTCTTTTTAAATACAAAAATATTGTGATGCAATTCCTTAAGCTTTGTGCAGTGTTGCACCTAAAGAAATCTCTTCTTAATCTGGGCCTGGTTCGGGTCAGTTTAATTCAACATGGTGGTATCATTTAGTGTTTGAGTTTCTTTTAACATGTGCATTTTTCCTCTCTAAGGACTTTATTTTTTTATGGGATGTGAGTAGTTCATTCAATAATTCTTCCTGTGTGTTTTGTTTTGAATTTCTGATCTTCTTTGTGTGTTTATTCTTGTCCCAACATTTGACTAAATATACTAATGGCAACTTTCAAGTAGTTTCCACACGACTGGGTTTAGGCAGGGCTGTTGTACACAACAATGTGGTGACCATCTGTGCGGCTCTAGAATCCCAAAAACGTCCGTCTGCCAAACAAGCTGCTGATAAGTCCATCTGGTGATAGGAGTTTCTCACAGTAGCCGATTTACCTTCAGAAAGGGAACACCAGCAGGAACGAGAACGGGGCTATTAAGGCGAGTAGGAGAGTGGGGGGGAAGCTGGGAATGACCCCTCGAACCCTGCTTATGAGAACCAGATGTTCTCCGAAAAACTCCCAGGCATCCAACTTTCGTCACGGATCGGAGGACTCCTAAATTATCCCAGCTGCATTTCCTCGCCGTCTCTAAAGCTGGTGCTGCACCAGCTGTTTGTTACTTCCCATCTACACAGCCGATGATACAATGTTAGGCCGCGTCCGTGGGAACACTGAGGCCACCTCAGAGAAATATGCAAGAGGGATCTCCTGTACGTTAGCAGTGTGAGTTACAAACACCGAGTGTGTCCTCAGGGACAGATTTAGATGACAGAGGTTAAAGGGCTTGTCTTGTCTGCATCTTTGTGTGTGTGGCGTAAACTACACACATTTTGTTTTCCTACACAGCTGCAACACCTAAAAAAAATCTTTCAATCAGGACTATTATAAATGACTGTAATAAATGAAGCAGCACCGCTGTTGGAAACCTGTGAGACCCTGAATTCCTTAGGTCTGATTCATGAGGCTTCCTTCTTCTTTTTAAGGAGTGGTAAGGAAGCCTGGTTGCTCTGTTTTTTGTCCTGTGACCCAAACTCAGCAGGATCTTCAGAGTGAAGGGGCCTGAATTATTCATTTGAAATCCTTATTTCCCTGAGGAGACAAGGAATCTTGAAAATTTTTCAGAAAAGAAAATTCAGTCTGTTACATAAAACCTTTGGAAAACAGGAGATCAGCAGTTTCTCTACCATGAATTCAAATGTATGCACAGTCTAAACATTAATTCATCTAAAACCTACCCAAAAATAAAATCTAGAAATAAATCTAGAAAAATATCTAAAAAAATCTAAATCTATGAAGGAATATAGAAAGTTGTAGCTACCTTGAAAGAAAACAAAATTGTATTTGCACGAGTTTGTTTTCTATGAAAATATAGATTTGCGGATAAAATTATGTCATTTTGATATGAACTCACTGAGATAAAATAAGTTATCCCAACTTTTCCCCGTTCCAAATTTTCCGTGTTATTCCAGCCTGTGACTGCGACCCCCGGGGAATCTCCAGCGAGCAGTGCCACCGTGCCACCGGTCAGTGCACCTGCGTGGAGGGCGTGTCGGGCCCAAAGTGCGATAAGTGCGCCCGAGGCTACCAGGGAGAGTTCCCCGCCTGCGAGCCCTGCCACCAGTGCTTTGCCGTCTGGGACGCGGTGGTCGGCGAGCTGCTCAATCAAACTCGCCGCGTGGACGCCCAAGTGACGGAGCTCATGACCAGCATGGTGACGGCGCCGTACAAAGAACTGATCGCCAGCCTGGATAGAAACGCAAAGGCTGTCCGGGAGATAGTGGAGAACAAAACTGCCGCGGTGAAGCTGGAGAAGATTCAAGACCTGATGGATGAGATCACGTACGTGTGCGGCCAAGGGGAGGTCCCCCCCCCAGCGGGTGCTCGTATCACCAGGCCAGTTTTTCACGACTGATTTGTCGTTTTCAGCGGTTCATTTTCCTACCTCAATGGAAAGCTGAATACGACCGAAGAGACCCTGAATCTACTCCACGGTGACGCCAACACCACGAGCACAGACCTGGGCGCGTTGATGGACGAGGCCAAAAAGCTGGAGCAGAACATCCGGGAGCTTAGACAGCAGGTTCACGACACCAAGAACGCCAACATCTACGGTGAGAGTTGGGGTTTGACACTCTTGGAGGGAAATGAGCGCCTCATTTGTGTTTTTTTGAACGGAAGGCTTCTGGTTTGTTTCTTTAAGTATGGTTATGTTGTTGTATAAAAAATGGTAAAACTCCCAGATTCCCATAAACAATTAATCCAAGTCCCAACATATACCACTTCCAGGTGCCTTGAACACCATTTCTACTGCACACATGCAGTCCAGGACCGCAGAGATCCGGGCCAATGCCTCCACCAGTGACCCGGGCAACACAGTGGAGCAGTCAGCCGCAATCCGGACGGCCACAGAGGACAAACTGAGCGGCTACCAGAGGGAATTTGACCGAAAGCACCAACGAAACACTCAAAAGCTGGACAAGCTGTCCAAAGAGCTGAATAAATTTGACCTGTCCGCGCTCAGTGAAAAGGTGAGAAGTGCTGGACGGACGGATATTCCACCAAAAAGAAAAACAAAACTCATTACATTAAAATAGAAAACTTTATTGCTAAATGCAAATTAACAGGCAATTAGCATCCCAAAGAAAAAGAAAAAAAAGAAAAGGTTGGGTCTAATCTGTCACACCTAAGTAACAGTGTAAAGGGTATAGCACATATCTTATCTAGTTTTGCACTCCAAAAAGGGGAGATTTTAGATTTTAAAAAGCCATAATAATAATAATAATAATAATAATAATAATAATAGTAATAATAATAATACATTGATATAGTATAAGTGAGTCCTAAGGTAAATAATCACAAACTGGGGTCCACCTTCTCATAAAAACAGGTACTTTTATCTGTAATTGGGCAGTCATATGTTCCATTGTGTAAACATGTTTTACTTTCTGTAACCGCTGAGTGATCGTGGGAGGTTGAGTCTTCATCCAATTACTCATGACATTTTTTAAACGATTGTCTTGATGTAGACGTGTGGGGGTGCACCTGAGGGGGAAGCCTGCTCTCCATGCGGCGGGTTGGGCTGCGTCGGGGAGGACGGAGGGTCCCTGTGCGGGGGAGAAGGATGCGGGGGCGTCGTCACCGTCTCTCGAACCGCCCTCAAATCAGCCACGAACCTTGAGCAGGAGATTCAAACAGCCATGGAGGAAGTTGACACGCTTTCCAGGATGGTAAAGGGGAACGCCGCTCTCACTTTTTAAAAAGTAGATCCAAGTGACTCACGGTAGGTGTGAACAAATCCCGCCACGCGTTTTGTGCTCAGGTGTGGGAGGCCAATGCACGAGCTAACGAGGCCAAGGTGAACGCCATGGAGGTGTTGGTCAAATCCAACCGCAGCAAAGAGAGGGTGGAGCAGAGCAACGACCAGCTTAGGAGCCTCATCAAAGAGATACGGGACCTCCTGACCAGTGAGTGCGCCGTAAAACCCGGCTGCCCCCTCGATTGAGTCTTCGAAATCTCTATCTAAGAGATGTTACTGTGTATTACGAAAGCCGCATGAAAACCAGTATTTGGCTTCTCGGTTGTCCAGACGATAAGGCGGACGTGGCGGTGATCGAGGCGGTGGCCAACGAGGTGCTGGCCATAGAGATGCCGGCTTCCACCGCAAAGCTGCAGGAGCTGACGAAGGAAATCCGGGAGAAGGTCAGCTCTCTGACCGGCGTGGAGGCCATTCTCCACCAGAGCGCCCAGGACATCAAGGTTGCCGAGTCTCTCCTGAGGCAGGCCAAGGCGGCCAGGTAACACACACACATATTCGTTTTTAATACAGAAAAAAAAAAGAAAGGCTCCGTATACTGAACCTGCAGTGTTGACATGTACGATAGCGAAGAGGCCTCAAACGTGAAGGAGACAACGGACACGGTGAAGGCAGCCCTGGATGAGAGCGAGCGCACCCAGCGCGTCGTCATGGAGGCCATCCAGCGGGCGAAAAACAGCACTAAGGGGACCCTGGACCTGCTGAATTCCGTGAGTTCCCCAGAGGGTCTACCAGCATGTTTTGGGTCCCGCTCGTGACGTTTTCGTAACGCGACGGCTGACCTCGAAGCTTTTCGAAATGTGCATGCGTCAGGTGGAGACGGAGACGGCGGAGTCGGAGCTGAAGCTGAGCGGCACCACGGGGCGGCTGCTGCAGCTGGAGCGGGAAGTCGGCCTGCTGAAGCAGAGCAACCTGGAGACGAGCCAGCTGGTGGATCGGGCTGAGCAGATCACCAGCCAGGCCAAGCGGAACGCGGAGGAGGCCCACCAGGTTCGCTTCTACCTCAACACCCAGACCCCCCCCCCCAGTTGGCCGCCGTCACCGAGACGTTGCCTGTTTGCAGGAGTTTGAGGAGGAGCTGAAGGATAAATTGGAGGCGGCGGAGGAGCAGGTGGAAGATAAAGGGGAGTCCGTGCTACGGGCGAGGAGGAGGGCGGACAAGCTGCAGCAGGAGGCCAGGGAGCTGCTGGAGCAGAGCAGCAGCAAGCTGCAGAGGCTCAGAGGTGACCACTTTATTTCACGATGGACGTTTTTTTTTTTTTACCACTTTATTCTTACTTTATACATAAAAAACGACATTTTACACAATACTGAATCTTGATATGTTTCTTTAGTGAGTGCACCTTTGTTTCAGCTCACACAATAAATGTGAAAATAAAGATAGGATGTAAAAAGAAATGTTAAAAAAGCCGAACAAAGGGCGCTGCTTTAACAGGCAGGTAAGGGTGGGAAGACTGGAAAAAATGTGAGTTGCAACGTGTTCTGTTTTACGGTACTTTGAACATAGCAGAGCCATCTCATGTTCTCCTGTGCTCGCAGAGTTGGAGAGCTCCTACGAGGTCAATCAGCGCATCCTGGAGAGCAAAGCTGCAGAGCTGGCCGACCTGGAACGGACCGCCCAGCGCGTCCTGGACGATATCAGCCACAAAGTGACACTGTACAGCACCTGTGTGTGATGAGACCCTCACCTGCTGGGATTCTAGTACTTTTAGAGCTTCTAAAAGTCGTGCTCCTAGATGTCTAATCCTTTTTTTTTCACTGTTGAAACAAATTACTGTAATATATTTCATTTATGCAAAACTAGCTTTAAAGCTGACAGAGACCACTAAAGTATTGAGGAAATTAATCCTAAAGGAAACCACAAGAAGCCGATGCGAACTAAAAATGTGGGGACAATCTAGAGCAATTTACCTCGATATGTTACAGCAGCCACTGTGTTCAACTATAATATATTATATATATATGAAAGAAGTTATTAAAATGATATATGTTGAATTGATTTAGGATGCTTTCAAACAATGAAGTTCTATATAAGAAGTGTTAGTGTTTTTTAATGTTATATGTAACCATATACAAAAAAAGATTATAGACAACTGTAATAATGATTGAATATAGTTTAATCAGAGATATAAAGAAAAATCCCCTTTTGATTGATGAATTGACCAATGATTGGTTTTGTTGCGTTATGTTATGTGTAATCTTTTTTTGTTGTTTTTTTCATGATCACTTTTTCTCTTTAACTCCTCCATGGTTTAGAAGTTTGTTTGTTTTTTTGTCCCACTCTTATTGAATGTGTCTGTCTTTCATGTGCCCATTCTTCATCTACAGAAATAAGATTTTTTCGATTTAATTCCACTGTCTCTATATTTGAAAAAAAAAAAAAAAAAAAAAAAAAAAAAAAAAAAAAAGCCGAAATACAAAAGTAGCGCATTTAAAAACTACGTCGGACTTTTAGTAGTTTGACAGTGGGGCATTGGGTAGTAACGTGGCAGACTGGTAAACAGCAAACAACCAAAGATCTCATTTGAACGAATGGAGCGTTCAGGGACACACAGACAAACTGTCAATCAACCTGGGAAAAGTTATGAGGTCATTATACAGTTTGACTCCAACGTTCAACACTAAGTAAAGTAATTGACAACTTGAAACAACCCAGAGTTCATTCTTACATTTGGCTATTACTTATAAACACGGTTGAAGTAGCCTATAACTTATGGTGGTGGTGTTAACTTCGAGTTAGTTTTACCTAATATCAAGAATTGGCCCGGGCCATAGCTGTCGTTTTCGAGTTCGGATACAATGAAAGAGCTAACATTTCCTTATTAGTCTTTTAAGCTGTGTTGTTACCTGAACGCCGACTTCACTTGAAAACATCTGCAACATCAGCACGGTTGGCGCCAAATGACGGCCATTAAAAGCAACAAATGGCACGCGGATGTTTCTTGTCCACTGCTGCATTCAAGAACACTCGGACACTGAGGTGGTTCGATAGTCCACTGAATTATAACGCTCCAAGAGTTTGCTAAACAAATAGTTGGCCAAAAATCGAGCATCAAAAATAACCTAGAGGCTTAAAAACATAAATTTGCTTTTACTGATTAGGAGCTCAAAGTTTTCACTCTTATTAAATGAATCTAATAGAGATAAAAATGATGTATGAATGATGCCTGGAGGGCTCCAGACATGTTCAATGAATAAAATAAAAAAAAACTTTGACTATAGTCATCCTCTACTAAAGGTTTACCATTAAGACACTTTACAAGAAAATCCTTCTAAATTAATATATAAACATGGAAAGGACTAAATAAAGTTATTCTAATTTGAAATGGTAACATTTAAGACTGTATGTGCTGCATATAGAAGAGGACAAAGTGTAAGCAAGAACAGTTTATTTTAACTGCTTAACATTTGGATTTTTTTGTTTGATAAAATAGATCACCCTTTGACATTTAAAAACCATATTCCTAACAAAAGATGAACATACTACATACAAGAAAGTTCTTAAGACTGTAAAAAAAAAAAAAAAAAAGCTCATGTAAAATTTAATAAATTTCTTTATGTTCTTCTATTTATCTTGTTCTATTTATTTACCTACAAACCTACTGAACCTCTAAATCTGACAGAGAGAGTAAGTCTACTGGAACCGTTTGAGAACGTCTGACCTAACCTGAGAAAATGGCAAACTGTGTGATGGCATGGCAGTAGAAATTCAAGCAGCAAAAAAATAGCAGCATTGTGTTTACATTAAGACAGCAGTAAAAAAAAAAAAAGGCTGTAGATGTTTGTTTTCATACCCAAATATCTAAACAAAAGATGTTTTTTTGGCCAACTGAAACATATTTAACTGCTGAAGATGAGCAACTCAACATGGCAAAATAAAGTTTGTTTAAATACAGGCTAATGACTAAATTTCTCTCAAAACACAGGAATGATTTTTTTTTTTTTTTTCAAACATCTGATGTGAAAGTAGAGGCTTCACGTCTTGGAATCTTAACACTGACCACATTAACAGCTTTAAGCTCCACTTAAAGTGCTTTTGAACCCCTGCCCCCATTAACTTGTGAGGTGGAGACTTATTCTAAGGCTTGTAGGCCCAAGCCTGGGTTTGTGGTTCTAGTCTCTGCTGTGGGGGTTATGGGGTGGTGGAGCTCCCTCCACGGGGCCTGAGCTGGGGACTGAGAGCAGCTGGCCGCCGTGCATTCGCTCATTGACCCGCAGCTGGCACCCGTCCTGAAGCATGCGGACAGCTATCCGGGCGATGTTGCGCGAATCGTCCAGGCCGCAGTGAGGACGGCCCTCATACTTCATACCGAGCTTCTCCAGCATGGTGCTCAGCTTCGTCTGTGCCCGGGGGACCTGGAGGGAAAACACCCACACAAGTGTCGTCAGCACAGTCTCTGCACTGCTCGTTGCGCTTTCAATATACATTTTGATTTAATTTAGAAAATAATAAGAAAAAAAAGGATATTTTCATCTAAGTTTGAAATGAATTGACCAAAATCATCAGGGAGCTCATGTCATTTGGCTATGTCCAATAAATCCTGGTTTATTTTTGGAAATCAGTCAATAAAATTATAAATATCCAAGAGATTTCTGAAACATATTTTTAAGAGGAGCAAATATTTGTGCCAGATGTTCAGGTGTCAGTTCATAGGGGGCATTTTTGCCTCTTTTTACCAGCTGTTAGGAGTCTAATGAAACATTTATTACTTAACAACTGACGACTTTCAACAGAAGGTCATGTAATCTTATAAATACACGGGCAAGACCCTAAAAAGGGTGCGACCCATAAAACTGTTCACCACAGGGATACAAGCAAGGAACTTTTGTTGCAATTCTGAAGGTAAATCAAAAGGAGGGCTGACCTTGTAAAAGTTGCCGTAAGATTTCCTGATGTTTATCCACTTTTTTGCAAACTGAGGGTACCTGATCCGGCTAATCCGACACTGGATGTTGAGGAACTTGCTCATATCCCACGCTCTGGAGATATTCAATAAAGAAAAAAAGAAAAAAAAAAGAGGATCATTAATAAATATTTGTCACATCGAGAATGAGGAAAAGCACAAATTCTGCCGCACATTGAAATTAAACCTACCCATCAGTAAGAATCGCGTATTTGTATTTTGTTCCAAGCTCCCTCTCCTGAAGCCAAGCCACGACTTGCCGCAAGACCTCTGGAAAAGGATCCGCCTCATCCACAATTTTCTACAGTCAACGGCAAAATATGGAGTTATCCACCGACACCTTCTTGAGGGCCTTAACACATAGATTGTGTCTTCCAACCTGTGTGATCCCTGTCAACTTGATGCAGAAGTCTGAAAGCTGTGGGTTCAGCTCTGGTTTCACGTACGCCTGAAAGGTGTCCACCTTTGTGGGACAAAACGTGGACACAATTATTTAAGACAAGGTGGGGGGGGGGGTGACAAAAAGAAATATATAAAATCTAAAGCTGGACTCACAATCTGTAAGGTGTGGGTATTAATGAGCGCCATCGGGAACTCGATGATTTCATGGAGGAAGTCTGAAGGATTATCCTCTTCGCACGTTGCCTCAAAATCCACCACGCAAATGTAGTCGTAGTAGGTGTCTGTGGGCCCGCCCTCAGCGGCAGACTGCATCAGTTTCTGCTTCTTGTAGTGGCTCTTTAACCTCTTCTTCATCACGTCTTTCACTCCTCTTAACATCCACGGAGGAAGAATAGAGCAGCATTCAATATGCGTGAACATTTATGACCAGAGCACACTTTCCTGACTTCATAGCCAAGTTTAGATATCTACAAACGCGGGTGTATTCTAAAAAATGTTTTCCAACACCAACCTTGTGTCAAGCTTCAGCTCCGATAATTTGATTCTCAGCTCCTCCTTGGACATGCGGTTGATGTGGCCATTGGCCAAAGCGATCTCTTTGTAAACTGGGTGACTGAAGTCGCTGTTGGACTGAGATGGAGGCGTTTGGGGAGCAGATTCTGCATCAGGACATATTCTGCTGCAAGGTTTCTCCTGAAGAAGAAACACGGTGGTCATTATGCACCAGCAGGTCTTACAGGCGTTCAGGCACTGGTTTCCGGTTAGCAGAAAGGTTTGGAAAAGTTCAGCTTTCTGTCTGAACAACATATAACATTGTATCTATTTAACTCCCGTTTTCTTGGGACGACAGTGAAACAGACAAAAAAACATATGTTTCCATATTTTTCAAAGACAAATATTTAAATACAATTCAATTTAATCGCCCACTCAATCCTAAAAAAATATTAGCACATCTGTTCGATGTACACAACATTTAAAAGGTTTTTCAAAACATTTTTTGTACAATATCATCACCGGGTCAGCTTTTAAAGGTAATGTTGCCGCTTCGTTGTGTGCTTTATGGTCAATCAAACGTTTCGGATTTGAACACCGACCTTTTCCTCTTCTTTTGCATTGGACATCTTGGCATTGACGTCTATAACCTGGATATTCTCCTTGTGCTCTTCCATTTAAGGCCAAACGCGGACAAAAAACTAGTCGTCGCTTTAGGATACAAAGTGTATTCACGTAAATAACGTCTCACGAGCTACACTTGCTAACAGTAGCTAGCAGAGAAGCCAACATTCCTGTTCGCCTCGTTTTTTAAACAGACGATTCCGCTATTCGCCTGCTGGATTAACGTGATATATTTGACTAAGATTTTAAAATATATATAGATATCACTTAGTGAAGTTGCAAAAGACAACAGCTGCTGCAAAACCTCTGAGGCAACGTTAAACTTTCTTTAAGGTCGACAGTTATGACGATTTCCGCTTTGCGCCAAAATAAGATTAGTGCTCACCAGCGCCCCCTACGGAGGCGGAGGAATACACACACACGCGCGAGACCCAAAATTATACGGTCCACGATTAAATACAGACATGTTTGGAATTTTTTTATACAACTGACATATAGTTATATAGTTAAACTAAATATAGCCAGAGTAATAGTAGCTTGTGTATTATTGGGTTGACATTCCAAACTTTTGATACGTAGTGTTATTTACAGCGACTGGCGGACCGTCCCGACTGGGATAGGCTCCAATTTTTACCCATATATGACCCAATCAAAAACAGCTCTTTTACCGTGACAAGAAGGTTAAAAATTTTCAATAACCACATCCGCTGCATGTTCTAGTTTTGGGGGAAAACAAATATTAGTTGGGAAATATTCATGCTAAATATATATAAAATATATAAAATATAAAATATATCTGAGTTATAGTCAGTATGGATGCACTTAAAAATACACAACAATGGAAAACGTATTTATCCCATTTGTTACAGTGTAAACATTCATTACATATTGTAATAAGTGTGTAATGTGTGATTTTTGGTGGCACCACTCATATTTGACAGCTAGGCGTCACTCTTTTCTAGCTTTAATTTAAGGTGTAACTCATTTACAGTCTGTATGCATCTTTTTTTTTTTTCAATCAAGAGCAACTGAACCCATTTGACATTCTAAATTGGGATTTACCATAATAGATTTATTCTGAATGGCTATTTCTGAGAATTTTTTTTTTAGAACAATGATACAATCTGACACAAGCCTTGCACTCAGGCTGTATGATTTAAAAAAAACGGGGCCTGGAATATGTCAGAATCCCAAAATGCAAAGTGAAATCATAAGTTATATTTAATGCAGTTATGTTGGGAGTTAAATCCGTTTCCCGCTTTAGAAACCTTGTGACTTGGATCTAATTTACAGAAGGAATATTCCTCTCCATAGCAGAGCACCACGCCACACAGCTGTTGTCGGCTGAAGTATTCCTTTTCCTTTTATGTGTGATTTCACTGCCATGCGAGCAGTGCGTTTTGATCTTCACTGATCTTCTCTGGGTTGGTGGATGATGTCTTTTATAATGGATGAGATGTCAGGGGAAAAAAATAACACAATCCTAGAAAAACAAAAATTTATTTCAGCATTTAAAAAGATAACACGATGGGAAACCCATAACCAGAGGCTAGTGAAAAAAATCAAGAGGGTACATGTCTCCTGAATGACAGCATTTGAAACGATGTGGGACAAAAAAACAAAAACAATACAAAATCAAAACATGAAGACTATTGCAAAGAAATAAAACTTCCTTAAAAATCTCCTTATTTGGCTTTTAGTGTTTCCATTTTGAAGGGACACAAACAGAAGCGTCACACAACAGAATAAACCAGCTGCATTGAAAAGGCATCAGTCCAATCGAACCCCTTTCTATCATTCAGGGCTTCGGGGAGATTGGTGCTACATTGTTCACTTTCCCCCATCCGGCACGCCAGTGCTGCATTCAAGATGCGTGAGGAAGAACAGCCATGACAATCCTGATCGTACCACTTGTGGTAATTTCCAGGAGCTAAATGCTGCTTGACGTTCATGGCATTTCAAACACTTAAGTGTTAAAATCAAATCTTAAAACTCATTATTGCTCAGCGTGCAACATGTTTCTGTGCTTGTTTAATCCTAGATGAGGCATATCCTGGCCCTCACTGAGTATGACAGACGGTGAAAGAGAATACGTTGATGGATAAGTGTCAATTAGCAATCACTTGTGGAATTTGCTTCTAAGAGGTTGGAATCCTTGCCGTTTTTTCTCCCTCTGACCTTGAATGCAGCACAGCATAAAGGGCTTCACACATAAGTTAGCTTCTTCAGGTCATCTCTTAAAAGGCATTTTCACGAGTCAAACATGCTTCCATGTGCAGTTTTGTCGTCTTATTTTTCGAGAAACATATGTGTTTCCCTTCTCCTTTTCCAACTAGTTTTGTTTCTCAGTGTACGTGCACACACATTAGCATTTCTGCTGACAAACCACAGCCGTGTTTTAAATGTGTTTAAAAAGGAACGACTCAGCTAGCGACATAAACACTGACGTTAACACTTTTTTTTTTTTTTAAATGCAAAAACCATCCGTTTATAAAGCCGAGAGGCAGTTCAGAAGCTTTTCTAGAATTTACGGAACAGGTGACATTTTTGGGGGATAAAAAAGCTTGTTCCATACAAAGCAAAAGCGAGCAGTTGGGAGCTTTTGCGTTAAAAACTGGAAGCAGGTGGAAACCTCTGCAGTTTGTCTCTGACTAAAGGAGATAAAAATCTGCTGACGGCCACCACGAAAAGTCAGAAAGGTACGCGGTTGTTCCACCTGTAGGAAAATGTGGGACATTTAGAAAAGAACAGCAAGCAGTTCCAGTGAAACTCTAACAAAGTCCTGTGTCACTTTCTATTTCTACTTCTACAATGAATTTCAAATTCCCAGAAGCCCTAAACGTCACAACTCTGACATTTCTGAGTCAACGTTAGGATCTATGCTACTGCTTGTAGTGTCTCAATGGTGGTTGCAGTTTTTTGGGTGAAAAAGAATTGGTAAATTAAATCTGAGTGACTAACAGAACATGAAAGCTTGATCTCAGCCACATCTCAGCTCAGTGTTTGTGAGTAAACCCGAGGATTATCTTATCCCTCAGAGTTTCCGTTTTCGTCTCCTGGCTTTAGCTTCATATCTAACACACAAACAGGAAACTGTATCAAAGCACGTTTCCCCAAAAGGGGAATATTCCTTTTTTTTCCCCTTCAGAAACACAGCACAGTGGCACACAACAAGGCATACGGAACACCAACAGACGAAAAGACACATTCGGACAGATGAAAACAACGCGTGTCTTAGACATGGACAACCATCCCATAAATACGGACAGTACAAATCCACCTGCGGGGGTTGGGGGGGGATGTTTGTCACAGCTCGCTGGTGTACGAGGAGGCAATCAGTGTGTGTTCAAAGCTGACCCGCTGACCGCAGAGCGGCCGTGGCGTTTGTTTGGAGGTGAGAGGCGCTGCCACGACGCGTTCACGTCCCTAATGGGGGGGGGGCATTAACACCCAGAGACCAGCCCACTCAGTTAGATTTCCTCAACGTGGGTTGATTTCTCGTTGCCGGTCCCGCATGCCGACGTGTTTAGCTGTGTCGGGCTATGTGTGTATTTTCTCCAGCTCTCGCTCTTCCATCGGGGCGCATGGGCAGGTGTAAGGCTACAAGCGGACTCCTCCCTTTTTCAGTTTTTTCTTTTTTAACCTCCATTGTCATGACAACGCACGGCTGCGGCCGGGGTTTTCGGACGAGGTCTCTCCGCTCTGCTCCCGGTTCAGTGCGGGAGCAGCAGTCGCTCCAGGGAGTACTGCAAATGTTCCCAGTTCTTCCACAGCAGCGCCAGCACCGACACGCCCACGCAGGTGAGCGCCAGGTGCAGGCGGCTGCGCAGCAGCGGCGCCGTGAACTTGATGGCGGTGGAGACGCACACCAGGATGACGGTGGCGATGGCGAGCATGATGTTGATGCACTTGCCCAGCAGCACCTTGGCGTCGGGGTTCTCCGGCTGCACCGTCTGCTGCTGCTGCTGCTGCTCCAGCTTGGACACGCGGGTCTGACAGGACTCCAGCACCTCCTGCCACCGCGCACGTGCACACACACACACACACACACACACACATAATCGGGTCAAAGATCAGGGGAGATACTGGAGAGCAGTGAGTCACTGGAGGGAAGGGCACTGAAACTCAATTAGATAACAAAACAACATCAGATGCGTCAGAAGTGGGCAGGAGGGAGAAACTTCAAGCTTCCATGCGGAAAGCGCTCTTATCGCACAGTCCTCTCCGCTTCATTTGTATAAATTTGCTCTCAAAAGATAAATGTATTTATAATCACTCAATCTATGGTGCGTTTTTTTCCAAAGTTCGAATGTTTAAACAACTACACCCTCGCAACACATCCGCAGAGTCATCTATTTTACATTTGTTGCTTTTATTTCATGATGAATGACTGTTTTTTGGTGAATTTAGCTTAATTTTAAATACATCACCTGCCAAAAAATAGTATAACTAAACAGATAAGTAAGAGTCTCCCATTGACAAAATGCTGCAGTTATTTACACGTTTAATTAACTTTTAACTGATGAAGATACCCTTTTCTGTCATGTCCAAGAATAATCCCAAGAGAGCATTTCAGAGGTCAGTTGGAGAGGCCCAACACAAGATCTCAGTGAGAGATGAATGCAACTCTGGATGGCAATACAATTATGAATGGGTTTACGAAAATGGTGCCACGGTGAATGCATGCTGCATGCTGGTGTACATTGGAATTATTTGTTCACACAAAACATTTGAAGTCAAATAAAAATAAATAAAGTCATTACGTTCCCCAATTACAACTATTCTAACCAAGAGATTGTCGTTCTCATTTAAACTAACAAGTTACACAGTCCTTTACTCTGTGACTTTAAAATACATGTTTTGAGTGTAAGTTGTACCTGTACAAATATGTCTGCAGGACTGTGCTGGGAGGCTTACCTGAATATCCCTGGCTCTCTCGTAGGCCTGGTAGGCCACCTTCTCCTCAATGCTGGCAAGCTCTTGCTTCAGATTACTGGTCTCGTGCTGGTGGAGCTCCGTCAAGTCGTTTAACTGGTCCTCCAACCGCTCATACCTGGCAAACAGACGCCCACGCACATGTAAAGCAGGCGGGGGTAGATTGTCGAGGACAGAGCAAGAAACAATACATAATTGAGTGTGTATGTGTGGGCATGAAACAGAACAGCAGTTTATCCACTGCGGCAACAAAGCCGCTGCCCCCGGTTGACTTAGCAACAATGGACGGGCTCTGTTGTGACTTTCTGCCTGCTAAAGCTTTTAATTAAGACTTCTTGTAAGTGTCAAGAGCTCATTAGAGCTTATGCGCAAACACATTTTCTTTGCCGACTCGCCTAGCAAACGATTTCCCATCGTTTTATCAGCACAGTATTTGAACGCATTCTCTTTAAAAAATGAAGCAGAAACGATGACGCTTTTTGTCGTTCTGCCTCTGAACTCTTGGAGCCAATTCCTAGTTTGAGAGTGGAGAGGCTCCATGCTGTGAATAAAAGAACCCGACTTGACTGTAAGCCGCTCCGTCAGCTGTGGAGTGAACAGCTGTCAGACATGTTTTCATTATAAACAGTTACAGACCGCAATCTGAAACGGCGGCCCTGCACCAATCCATCTCATCTGCTCATGTCATACCATTATACTACCGTACTTCTACCAGTGTGCTAAGCAGGAGACCTTTTAATTTAGACTTAAAAAAAAAAGTATATAGACTTCAGACTATAACTATGCAACTCCTTTTAACATTCCTTCATGTTTGTGTACAATCCATGTCTAGTCCAGAAAGGACGGGAGCAGCTGTAAAATAATGCTATGTAAATGTAAAGGTACATGCATTTTTATAGCGTTTTTCCAGTCAAGCTGACTAATCAAAGCACTTTACACAGTGTGTCATTCACCGCTCACACACACATTCACACACTGGTTGCACCAGTGGGACATCAGATGCAACTTGGATGCAACTTGGGGTTCAGAGCCTCTTTGACATGTGGTCTGGAGGGACACGGAGTTGAATCACTGACCCTCCAAGTGGGCAACTGCTCGTAACACACAAAGATATCACCGGCCCGGCCCGGCTGAGGAAGGGGCACCTCGGACGTGCTCACCTGTATCTCTCCTCCTGCATCACCTGCGTGAAGTAGCTGTAGTCTCTCTTGAACTGCGTGCTCAGGGTCTCCATGTCCTCGGCCAGCTGCGACTGGGCCTCTCGGATCTCCCGCACCACGTCCAGCACTTCCACCAGCCGCCCGCCGGAGTCCGACCGGCCGGGGCCTCCGGAGCCCGCCCCCGACCCCCCCGCCGGGTTCCCATTGGAGTCGGCTGACGCCGAGGTCCCCGTGGAGCACTCGTCATCGCTCTGGTACTTGGCCGGCTTGGCCACCGTGGTGGCGCTGCCGCTCAGGCCCCTGGCCCCGCCCTCCGCCGCCAGCCCCGACCCCGCCTCCAGGGAGCTCTTCAGGTGGGCGATGTTGTCGGCGCTGCCGAACTTGTTCCTGATGAGGTTGGCGATCTCCCTGGACTTGTTGAAGAAGAACGGCGGCGAGAGCGACACGCCGGGCCCGATGGTCTTCACCTTGTCCAGCGCCGGGTGGCGGCCCGAGGCGCTGACGTCGCGCAGGCTGCCCTCCTTGCTGTGCGTCCCGGACTCCCGGCTGCTGCTGCCGCCGCCGTCTCTGTGGCTGGACTTGCCGTTGGTCTCGCCGTCCTTCACGCGCCGGTGGTACTGCTCCAGCTTCCGCTGCAGCCGGGCGATGGACTGCGCAGACTTCTGGTTCTTTTTCTCGAAGACCTGACGTATCCGAGACACCTGCTGCTTGTCGGCGTTGTTCACCAGCTTCAGGTACTCGGCCACATTCTGGTCCCGGGCCGTCTGCTCCACCTTTATCTGCTCCGTCACCTAAAGTCGGGGCAACAGAAATTAGGTTTGTGAAAACAGCCGTTAGAAATAAAGAAAAAGCAAACGGTAAAAAACTGTGATATGATCTACTATGGACTTAATTTCAAATTGAAAAGCAGGCAAATGAAATCAACTTTAGTCTTCTTTTGGAAGAAAAAAAAAAAAGATAAGCCCTGAACAATGGACTGAGCACAGCTGGTCTGAAAGGCTCCACAAAAACAGACTCCTCACTGCAACTGACCGACCGTAACCTGATTCCAGCGGAGGCCAGTTCTGTTTTATACACAAACAAAAAAATGTCTCCTTATCATTCTGGTTCACAGATCTGTTTGTAGAAAAGAAAGCTGCACATAAATACCAATCCATAAATGCAAATATGCAAATGCGACATATTCACATGATTTTTTTTTTTAGTATTAGGAACCAGCTTTATGATTTAAAGCTGTAAATTGGGTCTCAGGAGGCATTTTGTTTGGGTTAACTCCAAACTAAATGGCAACTGATGCTTACACATTAAATGTGTGAGTCAGAAAGGTGTCAAAGGAGGTGAGTACCATCACCTCTGACCTTAAGGATCTTCTGCTGCAGGCTGTCGATGCCCAAGGCTCCCTTGGTGAAATCCAGACCCACGCCATCGACTCCGATGCTGTCGACCACGTCCAAGTTGGACTCCGAGCCCCCGCGACGGATGGGCACCGGGATGCTGAGGCTGTTGACGTCGCAGCCGCCGCGCTCTGCCTGTGGACACAGCGACGGGACGTTAGCGCCAAGATCAGAGTTTTCGTTAGGTAGTCGGCCGCTGTCTGGAGTTCAAATGTTATCATTACGAGGCTTGAAAGTAAGAAGCAGATGACGTTCTGATAAGTTAGATCCCTTCATTGCTTTTCGCATAGCTTGTGCCTCATTTATTCAGCTGTAATAAACCAGGACAGAGGAATGATTTTAAGATATGGCGCTCAGAAGAAAAGGGCTGGGTATAGCGCCCGACAGAATAACATTATATTCATAAAATTACATCTCAAATATCTACAGTCTGAGACATCCAAAACTAACATGACTCAACATTGTCTGTGAAAATGACAAAATAAAGTGGCATAATAAAAACAGGGCCCCAACCTGAACCAGACGTTGCTGAAACTACAGACCGAAGACTTGCTGCATGATCTTACATTTTATCAGAACATCAGCAGTTGGGTTTATGAGGCTTTCGACATCTTGTGAACACCGAAACGCGTTGGCCTGAAAGAGCAAAAATGAAAGTGCAAGGGATGTTCCTGCATTAAAAGAGGAGAAAATGAGGAGAAAAAAGGGAGCTGACGAGGCATTAAATCTGTCTTAGGGCTGCACAGCAGTCATTTAGTGGAGCGGTCAGGAGCCCGCAGCTCCAAACAAATGGCCTCCGGTGCACGTCGTTCTCCGTCTTCCACAAAGCACGTAATCATGTCAGGCAACTTTAAATATTAGGAACTCCAGTTTCCATAGCAGCAAAGCACACGCAGACGGACATAACGGAAAAAAAAACAAAAAACGCACATGCACAGGAAAACTGCTGACGTATCCCGAGGGGCCCAGTTTCTGGGCCCGGATTCTTTTTGTCTCTCACAGACAAACACGAGCAGAACATGTGACGTGTTTAAGTCAAGTTTGCCTCAAGTCTCCAAACTGAGCTCCTAACTACGGGCAGCGGGCCCTCTCGCATCACCACGTACGACACACTCATCTATCCAAAACTGGATCGATGATGTTTCCTCATTTTATGAATGACCGTCCACAACTGAACCCAAATGCGTCAATAGACATTCGTCAAAATGTCAAATATGAGAAGCTGAGCATTGCAATTATCCACTCGGGGGGTGGGGTGGGGGTGGGGGGGTGCATCAATACAACATCAGATCACAATCAGGCTCCAGTCAAGCCCACCACGGTGAAAGATGACAGCGGTCAGCTCAGATAATCGTCTCATGTAAATCAGGAAGCCGCGGGGGCACTCAAGAATCGTGCTGGCCATTAAGCAAATGTCTAGCTTTTGCGAAAATCTCTAATCTTCCATATACATTTGGGTGGAGATGGACATGCTGTGGTTTCTCATATCGGGGGCGTAAAAAGAGCTGGCGCTCCTCGCCCGGACCAGGATGTGGCAAAAGCACGTTTAAGAAAATGGCCTATCAGAGAGCATCGGTGCGTGAGCTAGCTGCTCACTGAGTGTGATTCTCTTCAATTGCCCGTGACGTTTGCCGCCTCACAGCTTGGCCATAAATCAACCAAGACACCACAGATTTAGCACATAGGATGAGTAGTGAAAAGTGGGTCTGAGGGCGAGAGCTGGAAATCATGAACACGTGCAGACAGGGAGCTCATATGTCTGAGGCTCGCTCTGTGAGCCCGGCTTACACCCGGGACATTAAAGTGTGACACAGCTGAGTGGAAATAGTGCAAAACACACAACACGCCAGGGTCCTTTGTCCACTGGGGAACGGACAGGGTGAGCGCGGATGTTCGCTTGACAACGTCTGGGCAGGGTAACGTGTCTTCTGAAAAATAAAAAACAATCCGTGAATGGGTTTGGCTGTGAAGCAGCACCAGCTCCAGTTAATTTCCTCTAAGATGCAATGAGACCGGCCATGAAAACGGCTGTTAACATGCCGCAAATCAGATTTGTCCCGGCGGACGGCCCACAAATGAAGACCCCTCCGTCGAGAAAGGTGGAGCCCCAGTGGCTGGGCAGCTTCCTGTGCTTGCATCTGGAATCTGTTATCAGCACAAACCCCATTTGTAAAATGTCGCAAGCGCTTATTCCCTGCAAAAACACACCCACAGGCAATGAATCTACACATTTTAATAATTTCAACAAACTTCCACTTGGAATGACAATCAGCTCGGCACAAAGCAGCGACAGGTAGACTTAGATTCAACTTTACTTATCCCTTGGGATTACTCCTTCAGGGAAATTCTGGTTCCAGTAGCTTATGTAGCAGAGTTAAAGCAAGATGCCATTGAAGATCAAAAATACAACAGACAATATAAAAAGAATGTATATGGCACAAAAGAGCATAAGAAAATTCAGGTGTGTGTGCGCGGGTCTGGATTTTGGCCGCAGACAAAATTCCAAAAGTCTAAGAATTCCATTCCGACCCATGGCTGTTGGGCTATCGTTTTCACCTTAAATTGGTTTCATGTGTTGGACGCTAGGTGAGGCGGGAGCACGTCTGTCAGAGGGCCAGGGAGCCATTTGTATGCGGTTTCCGTATTCAAATTGAAAGATTAGAAACCGGAGGCGACGCTTGTGCTGTAAGTGAAGGAGAGGAAGAGTGTGCCAGCCTGCAAGTGCTACTCCAACTCCCACTGAGCCAGCTCATCTGCCGGAGCTGGGAGTGAAGACCTTGCCATGGGGGGAAGGGGGGACAAAAACACAGGAAAATGCCAGGAGACACCCTTTGTTCTGCTGCTCCCCGCATGAATTGGGGAGCTATTTATTCTTGCCTCCTATCCATTAATTTATATTTCCCGGAGCCAGAGGCAGAGCCAGAAGTGCTCACGGCTCTCTTTGTTAAGAAAATCCTCTCCTCTTGGCTAATCAGTTTTACTGATATGGGGAAGAGGGATACGACATTTCGTCGAGAACCAATCAGTCTGCCACTGACAAATAAACAAATCAATCTGGCATCTTTCCATTACCTCCTGGCTGTTTACAGGAAATTCTAAAGCTACCTAACTTAAGTTGAGCCCTTGCCATCGATGTTATTAATCAGTGTCGACGACAGCCAGACAAAAAAAATAAAAATAACTGAGTGCAATGACATCTCGCCCCAGCAATGAATATTAATGAGATGAAAATATTTCTAGCTCCGATAGAAAGAAGTGGTAAAGATAATTCAAAACATAAATGCAAAGATTAGATGATAATATAAATGACAATGAGTTCGGCTACAATCAATATTCACATATAGACTATTAACCTTTGCAGTTTGCAGCCTCTCTAATGAAAAGAACGTAAAAAAGAAGAAAAAAAGACTGACAAAACATTTTTCTTGAAAATCAGTCAATAAATGTAGGAGACATTAAATGTTCTAAAGCAGCAGCAGTGTTTTTCCAATAAGAAAAGCGGCATGTAAACACTTCAGATTGGATAGTATCCAGTTTTTTGGAATCACGTGTCCTGCTGTAGGCTGTTTTTTCCCCCTGGTTTAGACAACAAAGTACACATCGCAGAGGACAACAAGGACTTTCTGCATCGAGAAGGCCGTGAATAAACATGTGACCGACTTGTGTCTTCTTCATCCATAAATCATTGAATAACCCTAATATTCCCAGACATTACAATGCTTTCTGAAGAGATTCCCACAACTTATTTTGGTTTGGATGTCAACAACATTTTTTTCCATTTATCTGTAGTTTTTCTTTTTATGGTCACAGTACATAATCCAGTGTTTTAAACAATTTACAAAGAAATAAAATAATCATTTCTGGTGTGCTTTGCAAGTGATGTTGACCTGGTTTTTGACTAGAGAATGTATGAGACATTTTCCCTCAACAAATTATTAAAAAGGAAGTTTACAAAAAAACAAAAAAAAATATTATTAACTGCTTGTTTGTGTTGCTGCGAGTTGAATGATGTGAAAGCTAAAACAATTAATTTGACACACTTGACCCTGAATGGTCCGCTCTCCAACAAATGAGTGCCTGAAGCAGTGAGCGTAACAGATTAGTCACCCATTGGTCGGCCCTGGCCCCACACGGCGCTGCGCACCGTCTGAACCAGCAAGCCAGATTAATGCTGGCAGGATTCAACTGGTGTGTGTTTGAGCACTGGGGAGGAAATAATGGGATCGGGAGAATCCTGACCGGGAGATTTGTCAGGAATATGCTCGTGAGCTGGTCACTGAAGCCAATCAAAGAAAGAAGGGTTGCATTATGGACATGATGTGGTCATGTGAGCTCCCTCTGTCTTCAGTGGACGGACGTGATATACTTTATTGGCAGAGAAAACTTCGTGAGTCTCGATTCCTCATGATCCAAACCTCAAGTAACCACAGTAACCACCTTTTTTCTTACAGCCGCAACCAACCAAAAAGCAGATATTGATCGTCTCAAGTTTGATCAAACAGAGTACAAAATAAACCAAAGGATGAGCCTGATCTCTAAGTAATTTTCCTCTAAAAGGAGAAAACATTGAAAAACAGAAAAATTGAGGTGGGATAAAGTCAATCACACTCAATGTTTGTCCAAGATTATGTCGATCCCTGATGAAAAAGATGAAATCTTCCCTTTTTTAACTTTTTTTTTTAAACAGACTAGGTAAATAACATTGAAAGAAAATCCTCAGTGAGGTGCTCAATAACCAATGACCACCGCACCTGAAGGAATAATGATGATATAAAGCACTTCCTTCAGCATCTGGCCACAAAAACATCTGACATGCTGAAAATAAAGGACTCACTCCTGCCTCGCTCGTCATGCTGACCTCCTCCTCCTCCTCCTACTCCTCCTTGCTTCTCGCTAAACAGCAGATAAAATGCAGCAGCTCTGTGGACAGATACGGAGATGCGCTCGGTCCCGGCTTCAATGGGCAGCTTTGGGAGGGTTTAACCCAGCCAACCCAGCTTGATTTGCAAAGGTCGCTGGGCTCCTGCAGCCCCTAGCAAACGGCGGGTCCCTAGGTATTTACTTCAGATAAAACTCATCCACCGGGGCCTAATTCATCATGCTGCCGCGGGATAAGGCGGAGGCTACACGGACCA